GTTATCAGGGGTTGACGCTGCTAAAAATACAGCCTGGCAGGAAGTCGGCGTGTGCTGAAGCAGCCACTGCTCCTCCCAGCACCCTCTCACCCTTCAGACAGCCACAAAAATCAAAAGTCCCCCAAACTCTGCAGCCCTTGGGCTGTCGTGGACGAGGTGGGGCTGTGGCTGCTGCCCCAGAGAACAAAGTATTGCCCTGACCTGGCCGCCCCAAAAAGCTCCCCAGAAAGGAGGGGTGGAGAGCAGCGCTGCCTTCCCCCGGCTGACTGGGGCCGGGGATGGTGTGGTGGATGCAGGATTTGGTGCCCCTCAGCCCTGCCCTGGTGCAGGGTCAGTGAAGGGACCTGTGTCAGGAGTAGGAAGCTGTGACGCTGTGGCACCGTCCCCTCGCCCGCGTGTTTTCCTATTGCTCATCAGCTGCGGTTTCAGCAGTGCCGGCTCTTCCCGGCAGCCCCGTCACCGACTCTCTGAGCCTGACCTTCCCTTGGCCCCCGGGGGTGGGATGGAGAGTTGCACCCAGGACAGGGCATCACCCATCGCGCCCCACGCAGGGCTGGGTGCAGGGCAGCTGTTGACTGCAGAACAGCCCAAATCTTGTGTTAAGTGCCCACCAAGGCACCGGGGAGCCAGGGGACGTGGCATGGGGCTGGTATGGTGCTGCAAGGAACAGGAGCCCCTGACACGGGGAAAGGCTGGGAGGGTGCTGGGCATGGTGCAACACCTGCAGGGGGCTTAAAAAGCAAATTAAATTAAAATAAAATACAGTACAAAATAATACCCAGCAAATAAATGAAATGAAATGAAAATAAAATAAAATAAAATAAAATAAAATAAAATAAAATAAAATAAAATAAAATAAAATAAAATAAATAAAATAAAATTACCCCATCGAGCCTTCAGGAGCAGGGGCAGGCAGCTCACCAGCCCTCCAGTTTGTCTCCCACCAGGCTCCCAGCCTCTCCCTCCTCCCTTCCCTACTCGTGGGCCGAAAAGTAAATAAATACACGCAATAATAAACAAAAGGAAAACAAAAGCAAAGCCTGCTGCTCTCACATACTTGGCAGCTCCACAGGCCAGCCTGCTTTCATCTGCACCCCGGCGCTGTTGTGGGACGTCCTGTTTACTCTCCCCGGCCCGCGGCAGCTGATAAGGCGGCTGTACCTTTTGGAGAGTCTGGTGTGTGGTGGTGGGGTGGGGACAAGCCCAGCTTGCTGGGGACACTGCTGCTATGTAGGGACCACTGCTGTCGACACCACCGTGCCCAAGGGATGCTCCAGCACCATGCCTGGCCAGAGGCTTTCCCCATCCCTGGGTGGTTGCAACATCGAGGGCAGAGAGTAACACAGTGGTTTAGTCCTTTTTGTTGCTTCCCATCTCCTCTTTTTTTGGTTTAATTTGCATTTGGGTCACTTGCAGCCCTGGACTTCATGTGAATCACTGCGTTCCCAGCCCGGCTGCAGGGACTCTCAGTGGGGAGCGTGTGCGTGGCGGCGGAATGAACACCCACCCTGGCACTGACGGCGGCGAGAAATGCTTGAGACTTGGGGTGGGAGGGCAGCGCTGGGAGACAACAAAACTTGTGTGAATCGGCTCCAAGAGCCACTTCCAGCTGCTTTGGCCCAGCAAACTGGGATATTTGTGGGAAACGAACATAAAAGCATCCGAATCGCGGGGCCTGAGCAATGCGTGCAGTGCTCCAGCTTTGGGAGTTGCCTGTCCCAGTGCTGGATGGGAGAGTGCTGGGACCCCCTGGGCTCATGATCTACATCCCACCACCTCTGTGCAGCTGGAGGTGACTAAATCCACCACCAGCATTGTCTGTCTTGGAGCGAGGGGATGCAAAGCCCTGTGGCAGAGAGTGACGGCTGCAGGAGGGCCGAGATGCAGTGTTGGGGCGTGCAGGGCAGCCCCTCAAAGCAGCTCCCAGACATCACCCACATCCCCTTTATTTTTTTTGGCTTTCTACTATTTCCCACTCCTGCATAACATGCAGGTGGTTAAAATAAATACCCCCCAAGCTCCACAAAGTTTATTTTTTCTCTTCCTGACTTTTAAGACCAGCCTTGAATCTATCAAAATGAATTCCCTCAGCCTCGGAGCTCCCAGCAGCCGCTGCTTCTGGTCCGCCTCAGCTGCCCAGTGGGGCCAGCTCTGCTCCTGTAGCCATTTGGCAAGCCAAGAGTGGAGGAGGAGATAAATGGAGCATCTCAAAAACAGCTGGAAACACTTCCCACGGCTCTGCCAGATGAGATCCATGAAGCTGTGGCTTTACCGCACAGCCCCGCTCCCAACCTCTCCTTCCTCCTCCTCAGACGGTGTGTCCCCCATCCATTCCCCCTCAAACCAGGGTAGTTTCACCAGGGAAACAGTGTCAGGTTTGTGCCTGTCCATGCTGAGGACAGGGACCTGAAAGCAGCAGTGTCACTGTGTTGGTCCGTACTGGGTGATGCTCCAGCCATGTCCACATCATCCTAGTGAGCCCCTCCTTATTTAGGGGGACACAGGATGGGCTGTTGAGCTTGACAGCCCTCGGGAGCAGGGGGCCATGTTTGTTCCCTGTTGAGCAACCCATCCCCAGGCCCCAGAGCTGACGTGTCTGGAACAGATTATGAGTGGCCGGGTGATTTATGGGGTGCAAGCGCCAGGTTCCGTGATGTTTGGCTGGTGGGAAGAGGAAGCGGGTGGGAGAAGCACCAGCATCTGCAACACCTCGCAGTGAGAAGGGAGCTGTGCTTCCTCCCACTTCCCTCCAAGGGCTGGGAGGGATTAAAAAAATCCCTGAGCTGGGATTTTTGCTGAGGTAATGGTGAGAAAACACCGCCTGCTTTAGACAAAGCCTTCCTTGCTTGCAGAGCCCTGCGGTCCTGCCGGCAGTGATGGAGACATCAGCTGCAGGAGAAAACATCCTTCTGGCCCTGTCACCATCCATCCCCTCTCCACCATGCAACAACAAGAGGGCACTGATGTGTGACCAGCTGCTTCATCACCGTGGCCACAGCCAGGCCACCCTCCGGCCCTGTCTACTCACCCCAGTGGGTGAGGGCAAACGAGCTGGGAGGTCCCAGGGTGCTGGGACCCACCAAACTGGTCCAGTCTGGGCTGCAGACACGGGGTGAGGGGGAGCATCCCTGTGGCTGCCTCCGCTACAAACCCTCCCGACTTCCAAGCGCAGGGCTCCAGCATCCCCACGTGGTCAGACCGTTCGGAGTCTCCCCGTTCAGGGTTTCCTTTCCAGGGCTGGCAGACACTCAGCTCTGTCTTGGCCTCCCTCGCAGTGCAGGGAGAGGTTGCCACCTCCTGAAAGCACTGCAGGAAAGGGTGGGGAGATGGGGTGTTTACTCGCGGACAAGGGTGCTTCAGAAGGGGTTAGAGAAGATGAGCTGCTATTTCAGCTGCCTGTTGCCTTCCTGGACACATGGGGAGCGCAAGTCCCTGTTGGACCATCCCAACAATGAACCCCCACCTTCTCAAGTGGAAGGAGCTGTGCAGATGCCACCTGCACAGTACCATGCTTGGCAGAAAACATGTAGCTTAGGCCATTTGCCATCCCAAGAGGTGACAGGAGATGGAGGCACAGTCAGTAACTGTGTCCCAGAGCCACCAGCTCTGCCCGATGGTTTTCCAGCTGCCAACCTACCGACAGCTCCCGGAGGCAGCGCTCCTGTGAGCACAGCTCAGCACACCACAGAGCAAACACGCTTGAAAGTATCTCCCCGGGGCATCCCTCCCTGCCTTATCTTGGAGGACAGAGATCTAAGGGACCACTACTGAAGGTTGATCTGAAGGCGAGGTTTATTCAAACACAAAGTTCACCCCTCCCTCGTTTTTCTCCGAGCTCCAAATGGCTCAGGAAAGAGTCCTGCCCTGCTCCCGCTGGGACAGGGAGTGGTGCAGAGGGTGAGCTGCTGGGGATGGTTGGCTGGAAAGCACCGGGAGAGGTCACCGGGCAGGTGGCCTTTGCAGGTTCCCATCCCTGGTGGAGCCCATAAAGCTGGTAAAATATTTACATGATGACTGACAGAGGCTTTATTTTCCTTCTCACCATCAGACTCCCTTAACTGCTCCAAGCCCTTTTAGAGCTTTAGAGAGCAGGTTTAATCATCTCAGATCAGGGATGAAGGTGGAAAACATGGGTTTCTCCTTTAGATGGGGGGAAAAAAAGGGAGAAAAATCTGTCAATTATTTATTGGTGAAGGGAGGAAAACTGGTGTCTGTTGAGATTCACAAGCATGAGGGGGAAAGTCACAACAAGGAGTCCTCTGTAGTTCTGCACTGGACCAACAGACAGGACTCAAGAGCACAGGTGTGGGTTTCAGCCATACTCAGGGCATTAAAAAAAATAGATGGCATTTACAAAGACAGAGTGAAATTATTGCTTATCCCCACACCTAGGAAGGGATGGGCTGAGGTCAGGGCAAGAATAGCACAGGATGGAGGCATTTGACTGGCAGGATCAGGCAGAAAAGAGATCAAGAAAATTACAGGAAGGTAAAGGTTTCAGTTTACTACTTGACAGTGATGCGGCAGCAGGCTTGTGATCAGAGAACAGTACAAAGGAAGAACTAAAACGAAGCCCACGATAGCCTGGGGGCAGCACTGAGAAAGATGAACCCACACTGAGCTGCACCAGGCCCCCAGCTCGCTACCAAAGACATAATACATTTCATCACCTCCTGAAGAGAGACACCTTTGCTGTGGCTGAGCTGGGGGTGCACCCTCCCACACCATTTTTCCACACTTCTTGTACTTCTGCTGGTGAAAATAAACCACTCCTGTTTGCTGTTGCTCCAGTGTGGAATAGCCAAGGTAGCAAAAGAGGTTCAAAGGAGTTCACAGTCACACAGACCGTGCACAGGGGGAACATCTCCCCAGGCTGATGTGCACATCTCTCAGCTGCTCCAGCACTTTCTACTGCATTTTCTGTAGCCCTGGAGGTCCCTGGTACCAGCCTGGCTCCATACCTCCCTCCGGGAGCAAATACAAATCAATAAATAGGAACAGTGGTTTTAAATCGTTTATTTTTAAAACATGAAACCCAAGCTGAATAGAAACCACAGAAATTACATTTAGGTTTTTTTGTTTAGTATTTGCAAACCAAAAAGTTACAGTAAAAAATAGCTACGTTACAATCAATAGAACTACAGAATTAAAAGTAAAGATACAAAACTGGGCTCAATCCTCTTTAATCCTCACAATTTAAAAACATTTTGGGTAAGTGCAGGAACACTTGAAAGAAACTAGCAGGTCCAAAGTTTTTTAAAAAAAAATTATATATATTTATATATTATATATGTATATAAAGTGGTATGATATACAACCATTATGGTTAAGAAAAAAAAAAAAAAAAAAGAAAAAAACCCAAAAAACCCAGAGAAGTTACAAAAAGGCCAGGTACATGTTCACCATTAGGTTTCTGTGCACAGTGTCCAAGAAAATAAACTTCCCTCTGAATGACATGAATAAAACTCGTGGAGCCTCCCGTTACCAAGGGACCTGAGGCACACGATGTGACGGCTGGGCGGCTGGACCCGATGCAGAGCACAACAAAAGGAGTGAAGCTTTCCTGGGACTTCAGTAGCCTCCTGGGCAGAGGCCACTGGAGAAGTCTTGGTGTGAGATTAGAGGAGGAACAGGAAGGAAGGAGCTGGGAATTGCATAGTGAGGAGCAATGTGGTATCAAATATGCAGAGCACCTAAGAGCTTCATGCTACAGTTATCCTCATCAGGAAAGGAGTATTTTGAACTTTCTGGTTGTATGTCAATTTATGTTCCACTTTGTTCATGCAGCCACAGGGGCTGGGTGAGCACCCGGGAGCTCCAGGCCACCAGTAACCCATCCCTTCTCTCCCAGCTGGGCAACATGCTCACCATCACGGCTTGGCAGGAGATCCCACACCACCCTGAAAGCACAAATCACTTGTTAGCCATCTAGGAACTGCTACCAAAGCATCCCACGCTTCTGCTGGGCCTCCTGGAATGACTGGGGAAGCCATCCATAGCATACACAGAAATAATTTCTGGAAAACGGGAGTAGGCTGTGATGAAAGGAGGTACAGATTGGGTCTTGTCAGGCCTCTTTCTCAAGGCATTAGATCTACTCCTTGGTATCTCCCTGGAGGGCTTTTCCCCTCCCACCCAGAGATGCTCACTGAGTTACACTAACAGTTGGGGAAGACCCCGGCTTCTCCTTGGTTCCCAGGTAGGAAGTACTTCAAAGACAGCTCCTCTCCCGAGCTAAATGAAAACCCATCCACCTCATCTCCTCCTGAATCAGGTGGGGTGGTAAGGATCAACAAGCCAAGACACTTCTCTCTTCTTCAAAGGGCTCAGCATGGTATTTCAGCTGCTGCTGGAAGGGAGAGAAGGTGGGACCAGAAGCAAAGCCTGGGTTTATTCACGCAGGTACCTGTACCTTGCTCTGACGGGCACCCACCCACTCCTGCCTGCTGCCACCCTGCAGCACCAAAAGCTCTCCAGAGCAATGGCTGAGCAGCTCCCTGAGAAAGGGTTCCACTCTCAGAAAGGCCAAACTTTTCATGTAGTTTCAGGGAACTGCTATGGAAATCCTAACTCAGGATCTCTTGAAACCCCATGCACTGTGTCCCCCTCAAAGCACTCAAATGAACATCCCTTGCATCTTGGCTGAGATGACTGTACACGGAAAATCAACACCTTTCAAATGGAGAAACTTAAAAGGACAGGAGGGGAAGGGAGCACTCCATCCTTCACATTTGGATACATGGATGCACGCTAAAAATCTTAGCTTGAACCCTTTTATCAGCACACAAAATGAACTCAATTTAATAATACATACAGGATACAAACACTACAGTTATAATTCCCAAGACAGCACAAGAAATTCACAGCCAAGTCTTGATTTGATTTCCTTTACAATTACAATGCAGTCTTGAACACTGGACACAAGAGTCCAACATGCTATTTACATTTCACATTGTGGAGATGTTTGTGTGCTTGGAAGAGTTCTCAGTTCCAAAAGAAAGTGTCATTCACACATGATGATGCGGTGGAAATAAACCAAGCCAACCAGACAAGCCAATGACCACATTTGTGCTTCTGAAAAAGTAACATGAAGTGTCTTCACCGATGCAGTCACCCTCCACCGGACAAGCTGCCTTCTGTTCTGCAGTCAGAGAGGTGTCCAGAGGCCAATCTCAGCTCCCCTGACTTCTGGACCCTTTTGCTAGCAACCGGTCACGTGAGAAATGTCCGATAAGGTCAGCTGGGACACACCAAGTGATATGGCCTTGGCATTTTGTCACATTAAAAACAGAGAGACACGATGGAAGAGAGAGAAGTCTCCACAGCTTTACCTCCTGCAGCTTGAAGAGTCTGGACTCCCTCAACCATGAATGCCATCCAGAACAGATGAGTCTTCGCCAGATAGCACCTGCTGTTCACCCGAGAGGGAGGCACAGAGTCTGGGAGATCTTGGCTTTTCAAAGTCCACTCCTCAGACAGAATGTGACCATATGGATGAGACTGATTATGTCGCAGCCATAAGAATAGGCAAAGGCCATCTGTTCTTCAGCAGATCCTTTCAGACCAGCCTGCAAAAAATGCCATGCTGTTGCTCAAGGTTCCAGTAAAATAAAAAAAGGAAAACAAACAAAAAAAAAGTAGTAATAACAATAATAATAAACCAAAAGAAACGCATTTGTCTGTGTTTCCTATCCAGCGCTCTGCACAGCATGCAGCGGGGCAGCAGAGTTCCAGGATGCTTTACAAAAGTGCAATATCCATGTCAAGTAAAGGAAGTGCTGGCTGGACACAGGTACACAGCTCACACCGCAGTCCCGTTGTGCTGGCCTCCAGAGAGCAAAACGTCATCTCCGCAACATTCTTTCCAGTTATATGTTGAAGTCACAGAGCACATGTCTCCACAGCTGTGCCTTGCTGCAAGCCCCAAACACCGCCAGAAGTTGTTCTGGGTGTTGTAAGTGGCTGTGCCAAACCTTGGAAGGAAGCAGGTCAAGGTGGCTGCTCCGTTCTGCAAACAAAAAGGCATCGGCTCGCTCCTCGTTACTGCCTGGCACAGGCAATGCCACTGTGACAATTCAGACCCAACCCCAAGTGCAGTCACACACAGGTTCAGGGTGCACTCTGTATACAGAGAAGTCAGTATACAGAAGCACTTGTTTTCACAGGGTTCCCCACACCCTCCAGCCTTCAAAACACTTGCCTTCAAATGAGTAGGACCAGGCCACAGATTTCAGGGCAGCTCCCCTAAAATTGATAGTGTGAGTAGCAATCGGAGCACATCCTTGCAAGGAGGATGATGGCAGAACAACTCAGTTTTAATAAGGATTATATGGCTCTTACTTTTTTTTTCAAAGTGAAGGAAAGGTTGGGTTCCCTCTAGATAGCAGTTGGGTGGTTGGGGCTGCAAGCTCACCAAACCACACATGCACACCTGGGTCTCCTGGTAGGCTCTAACACAGGGTGGAAAACCTGGTGCTCATGAGCCAGTGTCCCTCCATACCACCTGTGACTACATTTCCCTGCCCTTGTTATTTGATAAAACAGAGGTATGTTTCAGTGTGAAGCCCATCCAACATGTCTGAAAGGGCATACTTGGTCCTGAGCAAGAAAATCCTGCTTCCAGAGATTTATGGTGAAGTGTGAACTTTTCTCCAAAACCTTCTCTTCCTGTCTGCATGGTGGTGCCTCCTCCCTGTCTCCCTCACTCCTTTGCATGGTAACAGCTGGCCTACAGCTTTTGCAGTTAATTAGTGGTTTCTATCTTAAGAAGAGTCTCAAAGCTTGCTCTGCCACAGAGCTGGTACCATCTCACAGCAGATACCATCAGCCTAGTGAGCTGCCTGCTAGGAGCAATTCCTACCTCACTGCAAGAAGGCAACTGACTTGAGTAAAGGCAGATTGGTAGATTCTGTGCCCCAACCAGCAAACATGGGGTAAACAGACACCCAGTCTGAACATCACTGAGGTGAAAACTAACTGCCTCTGCCAATGGCTCAACTCCAGTTTGAGAGATGTTTCCCATTTTATTTCCTCTGCCAGTTATTTAATATAATGCCCAGCAGCTACGCTAAGATGCCCCTACTAAGAGGTAAAAAGACAAAAAGGAACATCATAGTTACCCTACTGAAAGGGCAGTACTCGACAGTACCTCCCAAGAGGCAGTCTCCTCTTCCAGCAGGAAGCTGTCAGTGCCCTTTGGAGCACTGCTCTTCAGTGGGAAGTACAGCACCAATGAAGGATGTTGCCCTCTGCAGGCACCCAGCTGCCCCTTTGCAAGCCTTGTTCTGCCTCGTGTCTAGAAAATGCCTTACATGTGCATTAGTATGGTCAGATAGTGGTTAGCAATGTGCCTTGAAAAACTAAACAAAATAAAACAGAATAAAATATAAACCTGTTCTGACAGTCACAATGTTCTCCAGACATCAACCGGGTTTCTGATCTAAAACACAGAAGATACACCGATGATCTTGTGAGTTTGTTAGGATTGAGGCTCCAAAAACCTCCTTCAATGCCAGTTCAGCAACCCTGTGCTGTAAATTATGATTTATAAAAAAGGAAAAAAAGTCCAGCAGAGTTCACAGGTCACTCCTGCGGGGAGAGCTTCCATTTGCTATGAATCCATTGGTGCTTCCAGTTTCTCTTGCTTTTCCAAGCTGACTGTCCCATAAGATTTAGCATCAGAGAGTCAAAACTCTTTAGTGCAAAAATGTCCCCCATAAAGTCTTATGAGCCTCTCCCTGGAAAAATTTGGCACCGAGTGGCTGGCTCCTGTTTGATCTGTGTGTCAGCCTCGCAAAGGCAGCACCCAGAACACCATCTGCAAGTACCTGAGCTTCCCTGATGGAGCAGAGAGATCAGGTTCAGAGCAATGGACAGGGTAGCTGACTGGTGCTGGGCCCCCTGCTCCTCCTCAAGAATTCACATGATAGATAGAGTGGCAAAGACAAAGGCATTTTCTTAATGGACTTAAAAAAAAAAAAAAGTTAACCAGGGTAGTGAAATGGTTTGCTCTGAAAGAGCAAATTCCAGTGGATATGCAGTGACACCATGAGGCAGGAGTTACCCTCCTCCCTCCCACAGGGCAGTGGACCAGAGGACTCCCAGTGAGATGCTGTGGGATGCTGAGTCCCACTGACTCAGCATTCCCTTGTTGTACACTGGTCCCAGGCACCGAGTCTCTGCGTCGTCAGGGTTTGACAGGCTGTTGATCCCACTGCAGAAGTGAAGAAGATCTACCACCATCTTTCACCGAGTCCCTCTGGGAACAGAAGGGGGGAAAAAAGGGGGCAGAAGGTATTCACCAACTTTTTCTGACAGGTTGCTCTAGTCAGCTGGCCCATGGGCTGGTGGACCCAGTTTCCTGCCTGGGTGCTCTCAGTTGCTTGCCTGCACATATTTCCTCTTTCACATCAGGTACAACAAGGTGAAGGTTTAATTTCAAAAGGAGCTTTCAACTCCAGTGGGCAGGTACCAGGTTGGAGGGGTGGTCTGGACTGGAGAAACAGAAGGAGCTGCACTGGATTTTGGGCAGAACAGCAGGATTGTTCTACGAGGACAGCACAGGGGCACAGCAGTTGGCACATTGTTTAGTCTGACTGCACATGTGGGTTTTGTTTTGTTGTTTTTTTTTGCTTTTGCTTTTTCATTTTAATGCACACTGCCAGCATCTGGACGAGGTTGGTTGGTGGCGAGGTATTTGGCTCTCATGCTGGAGGTGTACTGGAGGAAGACAAGACAGAAAAAACAAAATAAACAAACAGAAAAGTAAGTCAGAATGACTAATGTAAAGACAGAACCACAGATTTCTATCACCTCACAGCATAAAATGGTCTGTATTCACAGCAAGTGTACCAAGGAGCTGCTGGCTCAGTCTTACAAGGAAAGTTTCACAAGTCACTGTATAGTCCCCTCTGAGTAACATCCTGTCAGTCTGCTGTGAGGATGGTGCTGGCCAGGTCAGTACAGATGGGCTAATGATTTATCCAAGCTCTCTACAGAGAAGGAAATCCAATAGTCACTAAGTCAAAATATGACATAGGTCACTCGGGAGAAGAGAGGGAAATGGGAATGGCGCAGATGCAAAAACCCACCTCACACCTTCATCCTCTCTTAGTCTTGTTACTGCTTTCAACCGCGCCAGAAAAGGAGGTTGAAAAGAAAATGGGTGCTCACTGCATTTTCACATTGCATTTTATGGCAATGAGGGCATCAGAAGACTGCTCATGCCACAGATGGGCAGCTTGAAAGGAAAGTGTGGAAGAACAAATCTCTACATTTCTGGCCAAGAAAGAACAGACCCTGCCTGGCTGGAAACAGGCTGCCATCAAACAGGATGATATTAGCTAAGTTATCAGGTGGGTAACAGCCCACTGTGGCTTGGGATCCAACCTGTGCACTGTGCAGCAGCAGACAAGACTCCAGTGTAGGGGTGAGAAGAGCAGGTCAGAAAGATGAGAAGTTGTTTCAATTTGGGGTTGGTGGTGGTGTTCTTATTTTCTTTTTTATTCTAAGCAAGGCAATCTGAAGCAGCTCCCAGAAGCTACTGAGGTAACATATGTCATTCAGCTTTGAATAATAAGCTGAAAATCACGTAAATAATATCCAGCAGTAAGAACAAAAGACTATGCCTCTTTATGCCAATGTGTTCAACGTCTTCATTGTGACCACATTACTGCTTCTGGGTTGTGCTACCATGATACGAACAACCAAGCAATGAGGACAGACATTTCATTCCTCTTTTATACCTGCTGGAGCTTGAATAATTCTATAATATCCACAGCTTGCTTCCCAAGAGTGCTCTTCAGCATACTGACTTTTTATCACCTTTTAAACTGAACCACATAAAATAGCCAGTTAAGCTGGCAAAGAGACAACTGAAAGGCAGTTCCACACCAGGAGGTATGATTTATCTTGCCCACTGGGAAAGAACATTATGAGGCATCTTTAGGTTCTCAAAAGCTCAGCTGTCCATAGGGGTTTTCAGAGAATTAACAGTATTTTATCGGTTTTCCTTCAAAGACTGACCCAGGCTGAACCTCTGCATAATAGAAGAGAGAAACTGCTCTTTTGGCAGAGATGATCCCATCGGCATAAGATGAAGACACCTGTGGCTTATTTGCACACTCAGCTTTTAGTGTCTCCCATAATTGAAAAACTTTCTGCAGAACATGGATCTTAATATAAAACTCTGGCCCAGAAACAGCACCTATATTTAGAAGACAAAGGGTACATATGTTCTTTCTAAGATGTATTTTTTGTCAGTGAGAGGGCAAAAGATAGAAAATACCAAGCTGAGCCACTTTAAGGACTATATTCTATACAGTTTATTAAATGCGATTACTGTTTTAGAAATAAAGTTTAGGGCATTATTAAAACATATGAGACTAACCCAACAGGCTCAGATAGGCTTAGAAGTCAAAGAACTCTCTCACAGAGTAAGTAGGGCACATTTTAGGTAGTGCAATGCTGAAATTACCAGCCAAACATCATGCTAAGAAGAGTCTTAGAAGGGAAAATGTGTTTGATTGCTCATTTTCCATTTGCCTTCTGTATGGTGACATGTGATAGGAGATGAGTATGAGCAGAGAACTTTTCCAGGTGCTAGGGATTTGTAAGAAGTGTTTAGAAAAAAAATAAATCTCAGATCATGGAAGGTTATTGTGCATGCTTCTGGCCAAGTCATGTAGGTTCAGCACACAACATGCAACACCAACTTCCTTTAGAGCATTAAAATCAAGAAGGGCCACTTGATGAATCGCATTTCAGGGATGTACAAAGTACACCTATCACAGAGGGAGAAGCTGAAAAGAATTCCCTCCTTCCTCCACCAAGAAAAGACCCCACAGTTGCTAAAGTGTCACTAAAAAAAAAGTAATCAGGAACATGAGATCTGGACAATCAAGCAGAGAGCATTTTACATTCAAACCTACCTGCAAATCCACCAGAAGGAATAAATCAAGACTGAGTAGTCAGAGTTAGGGCTGATGTTCTCTCCTTAACTCAGGATTTTTGCACCTTTTTATCTTTTCCCATTACAGTTTAAACCAGTTACTCTTTCTGTTAAGTGTATTTTTAATGACCATGATAAGTATGATTGAAACCTGGAAGTAGAGAGCCAACACTTCACTGTGCACCTCCCAACCAGCACAGCTCTATCAGCGTGCACTGGATCTTCAGTCACAGCATTTGCCTCCATCTGCTTTGCTCCACATGCTATTGACAGCAGTCCTTCCTCAAAGTCCTTCAGGAAAAATGCTCTGGAACACACAGATCCCAACATCTGGACAGGCCAGCAGATGAAGATGTATCAGCAGACACGTGCCAGTCTTTGGATATGTAACCAAACTATATTACCCATAGTTAGAATGATTAAGTCTTCAGTTCCTTTAAAAAAAAAAAATCACTAAGTCTTTAGCTCCTTTAAAAAATAATTCTGAAGCCAAAACGTCTGAGCACAATTCAGACTGAGGAGGTCTTGGACTCCACTCTGAGGTACACAGCTATAAGGTACACAGTTGCATTTAGTTTCCTTTAAAGAGGAGCTTTCATAGAAGGTTAAAGAACGTTTACAATGCAGTCATTCTTCCAGCACTCACTGGAAGTACCCATGTGCCTATACACCCTCATTCACTCTTTCAAAAACAGCACTGAGGACAAGTTTCAACCCATACCTTCCCCTCACTGTCAGCTTCCCTAAAAAGTACCTGAAAGACTCCTTGTTACCATTTCTGGTGGTCGCTGGTGCTATTCAACAGCACACCTCTCAGTCACTTACCAGCCAGCTAGGACAAACACAGCTGATTGCACACAAGCTTATTTTTGTATTTCTCCAAAGAAAATTAAAGTCTCTCCTTCACATTCAGCCTTGTTGAGGGTATAAACTTTCACAGGTATGGTTTGCCAGCGCATACTAGTTGGGTGCTTAACACATATAGCCTGGGTACAAGGGAATCATTGGTGGCAGAAAAAAAAATAATTAAGGGAATAGTCAGTTCATTTTAGAGGCCATAAATTCCACTGACTTCTGTGAACTGTGAACTCCATAAGTACTTCACAGCTAACTAAGCTATGCTGAAAGATCATTTACCATATGAAACCATGACTGTGAGTACAAACTATTTACTATTTGTGGTTAAAAACCCACGCGTATCTCTCTCGGGCTACCCTGGCTTTGATTTCCTGCCAGAGCTATTCAGGTAATCCAATAAAGACCAAAGCTTCTGGATTCAAGTTCTGAAAGGTTGATCTCAAATAGCTAGAGCACAGTAAACACACAGGGGTTGGTCTTATTATGCATGGGAGGTACAAGATGCAGGGAAACAGCTAATTCCAGCCAGTGGGTTCTGAATTCAAAGGGACTTAAGTTTTTCAAGTCAAAAGAACAGAGCTTCTGTTTGTTTTGTTTGTTTTTAAAGCCTTGGAAAGAACGCAATGGCTTTTGCACAGCCCTGCAGACAGCCACATTAAGCTCGGGTGGGAGCATAGATAAACAGAAGACAGTGCAGACTACGATCAGGTCATGTTTCAGCCCAGAGATTTCAAGTCCAGAATGAAGGCATTAGAATTTCCCCACCTCCACCCCAAGCAGTATTTTATTTGATGGGATAGATCCAGTTAACATCGCTACAATACCACCTGCAGGAACCAAAGAGCGGAAAACCCACCATAAGCTGAGGCCCAAGAGCAGTCTTAGCAAGACTTAAGACTGAAGAAAGCTGTGACCCTGCCAGGGGTGGTAGCACCATACTTCCAGACAAGGTTGGTTGCGTTCATGCAGAGGACATCAAGACACCCGATCCGGAGAGCCCCTTCCCAGCAGGTCACAAGGCAGGCAGGCAGACAGCAAGAGGCAGCAAGGATGCAGACCAAGCACCAACATGACAGAAAGGAATCCAATGCAAGGCTGACAAAAGTCCCAACAAGAACAGCAGAGAAGAAGGGACAGCAGCTTTATGCACATGTATTTCTGGGAAAACAATGCAAGATAGTCACTGATCGCATGAGCCAAAGGCAATGGGCTCTCCCTGTTCCAGCTGGAACCAACACCTTCCCTTTACTGGAGTTCCCCTGAAGGAGCACTGTCCTTCACACCAGGTGAGTTGTCTGATAGCCCTAATTATACCCTATATTTAACCAAGCTACAAAACCACAAAATGCAGACCACCTACTCTTTGTGGCTTTGCCATGGACCCCTGTGAGGGAAGAAACACCGGCTATCTTGGAGAACATCAGCAACTACGGCCCATGAGGAATTCAGACAGTGAAATGGTTCTAGGAGGGCCCTGCTCACAGAGCCTGCAGGACATGGATGGGATGATTTGGACACACACAGAACAAACAAAACAGCAAAAGGTTTTGAAACAGAATGAAATAGATCTTAGTGATTATGTCTGGTCCTTTAGGGAAGTTTTTTTTTAAACTTGCTGCATTCTGACTTTCAGTGCAAGGATAAAAGGAGAAGCTGCGCACAGATCTGACAGGCAGTGAAGTAACTCTTCAGGACAGGTCACCAATACCAGCCAGGATCTTTCAACTAATTAAAAATCCTATGAATGAGCTAAAAGCTTGTGGCAGGTCAGTATCGGTGGTTTTGGGCACATGCTGTTACGGCCAGTCAAGACAAGCAGAACAGCAGTAGGGCTCAAGGGAAGCCAAAAGCTGAATTAAGACAAACAGTCCCGACTGAAAAGCTGCTAGATTGGTTCTCTTTACTTCTAGAAAATGGTTTCTTGTGATAGAAGAACTCCTATACTACATTTGAAGTGCAAGGTTATTTCTGCATTTGAGCAGCACTCAGTTCAAGCTGTTCTCAAGTGTGGACTTTGAGTTGAAGCTGCTGTGAGGTGGCTTTTCCAAGGCATAGGTGCCTGTAACCTTCACAATGTGCCCCAGAAGCCTCTAGAAGGTTGATACTGCTCCTTGAGTCTGCACCAGAGTCAAAACGGATTTTAATTTTAACCCTTGGCAGGAGGGAATGGGGTGGGAGGTGCAGAGGGAAGGAATGTGAAGAAATAAAAGGCACTGGCCTGGGATAAACAGTGCAGGGATGAAGGGAGTGGTTGGGAGTGGAGAAGGGGTTGAGCAAGAAGGACCTTTTTTTCCAGTACCTGTTCCATTTGCGGGCGCTGTTACCAGTATGTCCGTGCACTGTCCGAGGGCTTAAGCTGCCAGCTCATATGGCTGCTACTGTCCATGGCAGCCAAATACAACTGTGATGACGCAAGAAAGAGAGAGAAAAAGAGAGTGCAGCCTCAACGTGCATGAAAAACACAGTGCAAGCAAGTGAAACGCTGTGGTGTGTGTCAGCGACAAGGTGGGCTCTACAACCCTAAGGGAATATCCCTGTGGCAAGAAGGAGAAAACAGAAGGAATGAGAGAAGGAAAAAACACAAACAAACAAACAAAAAGCCAGGAAAAGTAACGGACAAACAATGCAGCAGGATCATCACATCTTAGTTTTCACCATCTGTTCACAGAAAGCTAAATGGAATAGGTCAGCTCTGTTCATCCACTGACACAACCTACTTGGACGGTTATCCCCCTCTCCTCCCTCCCAAAAAGAGGCAGGGACATGTGCATTGGTATTCCCTTTTCAACTCTCTCCTCCCACAGACAATTTGCTATGAAAAGTTACGATTTCTTCTGCCTCAGTACAGTCTCAGCCACCTGCTATGGAGAGCTGTGAACACAAAAATCCCAGAAAAGCTTTTTCCCGTTGCCTGCCAACATGAGAGCAGACAGTATTTTATTTCTCTCTGCTGTCTGTCTACTACAACCCTCCAAAAATCACATTTTTCCTATAGTCTGCTCCCTGTCTTGTCTAGGGAGAAGCTCCTTTGTCTATAGGTGCAGTGCTGCACTCTCCTCCCCAGCTCCTGTGCTACCCTATAGCGCACACTGATGGCTGCCAAGTCAAGTTACTCTGAAAAAACTTATTTTTATCTCCTCCCAGAAACAAGCTTAAGGCACCAGGACTCAGATCCCCCCTCAGGTTATTAACACAAATAGCTACTGAAGAACCAAGGAACTTCTTGCCTCGCTACAGCCCCTGTGGAAAGGAGTGTGCTTTCTCTGAAGCAGAAGAGCTGTAGGGCAAGGGGAAGCAGGATATTGAAGGAACATAAGCCTTGGCAGTACCAGGGGGACAGTGCCCTTCTGCCACAGGAAATGCCAGTGGTACAGCGTGTGCCACACTGCACTGGTGCAGCACATGAGCTCTTCTCCTGAGGACCATCTTGTTGCTGAGAGCTGATGATGATGCCACCAGAGCTCACGGTCGGAGTACCAGGGGTCAGGAAACCTCTTTGTGAAGGGTGAAAGAGGTTTGGCCAAGGACAGAGACAAGGATCAACTCTCCACATTTCCACTTTCTCTACAGCAAGATGAACTGGTCCTCTTGAAGTGAAACCATGAATGTGATGTCCTCTTTTCCACCACAGTTCCTACTCCTCCAGCCTCCTCTTCCTCCCCTTCCCACGAATTTGAGCCATGCACCACAGAGTGTATTTTTTTTTACCTATACCTGAAGACTGGTTGATCATTAGACATGCTACCACTCATCCTCTGTAATCACACCACCAAGTTTGTGAACTGCTGTGGCATGTTCTCAAAATTCTCCTGTAAGTAAGGTTTACAGGATCCAGCGAAGGATGAGATTCGTCTAGTTCTTACACAGACATGAAGGCAAGTCCATGTTTTATCCAGCACACAGAAATGGCTATCAGGCCACTCCAAATACCAAAACCTTCCATGAAAGTTTCCTTTTTTTCCTCCATAGGAAATTAAATACAAAAATAGATTTTAAAGAAAGTAAAAACAGTTGTGAAAGAAAGATTTAAAAAAAAATCTCAACCAAAAAAAAAAAAGAATACAGGTTTCATCCTACCATCTCTTTAGGGCAGATTAAGGAGAGAGGTTCAGCAATAACTCTGAATTTACAGTTTTAACAAGTTTCTTTTTAAACTTGAGGAACCAATGCCACAGATAGCAAGTACACTGCATGCAAGTGAACCATCCTGCTGAAGTCACCCATCAAGATACTCATGCACTTCAGTGGTGGCAGGACTGGGCCCATAGGATTATCAGTGTTAATTGATTTTTATTCTTTTTATGTGCAATGTCCAAAGTAGCATAGCAGGGCTTCATTCTCCATGGCAGGTGAGACATGGCTTGTCTAGTCAAGTTGCTGCCATTTATGGGCCAGATCCTGTGTTTGGCTGCACAATCAGCTCCCTTGGGAGTACACAGGAGTGGCAAACGTGTGTTCCCCAAAGTTGCTGAAGCAGAGAGGAGCAGTAAAGAAAGACTTACTGAGGGAGGTGGGGACTCCCGGCCAATGAGCGGGGTATTCTCGCAACGGGGGTTCTGGAAATTTGCATTCTGGCTCCTGGGAAAGGAAGACACACATGGTAACAGGAGGCATGTGCCATGCTTCTCTGGGGAAGGTCTCTGATGGTTACATGGGACAGAGCATCTGCACCCCCAGAACTACTGTATCAGGTCAGTGTCCCTCAAAGCTTTTCCTGCAGGCCAGGTGGGTCCCCCTTTTTCAGACAAGGGCACAAAACTATAATTTTCCTCAGAGAGAGCACTATTTTTACATTCTTACTCAGAAGGGCCCACACTGAATCATGTCAAGTGATTTAAAAATAGGTCTGTGTGAAAATCTGCCTCCCTGCAGCATCAGACCTGCCAAGCTGCAGAAATGGAGATAAAACGAGGACAAAGTCTCAGGGGATGAACGAAATGATGTGGTAGCCCCCAAAAAAGATGGGCCCTGATGGTAGTCCAAGTGTGATCAGGGTTAGGCACTTCTGGAGAAACCTCTGAAGATCCCACCTGGACTAGGTAGCTCCAAACTGCAACAGCTGCCAGAGCTGACTGCAAATACTGTAGGAAGACATAGCCCACAGGTTTTGTCTTGGCTCTCAGCCTCCTGGGAGGCTTAAAATCTTCTGGCAAGACTACTCTGTCTGAAGAATTAAGTCTTCTGGTGATCAGATTCATTGTGTAATAAGGAGCCCAGACAATACTTTCCTACTTCTTTTCTCTAGACAGATTTCTAAATCCTGGAGGATGAAGCTGTTCACATTTTGGAGCACGCTGTCTAATAAAACTCTTTCTACTGCAGCACTATCAAGCCATTCCCTTCTCCCAGTGGATGCCAATCATCAGAAAACATGTCATTTTGCCATTTGACACTTTGGACAAAATCCTTCATCGCTTTCTACTGCTCGTTCAGAAGTTCCAACCTTGCAGCACTTGTGACAACAGAAATCAGGATGAGTAATGTGGACAAGCTTGTTTTCGGGATACTCACATGTACTCCGTGACGGGAGCATTGCTGACTGTGTGTGCTGCTGCTGGAATGCTGGTCTCACTGCCATAACTACTCCCACAGCTATAGAGGCTGGGCATGTGCACTCTGTACAGATTATCGTGTGTCTGTCTACTCCCTTGAGCAGCTGATTCTTCTTCCCCATCATCATCTGAGCCTCTGCAAGAAGGAGAAAAAGTTCCTCCTAGAACCCTACAATTACCCCCCACATGTGGGGTTTGCAGGAAACCATGGTAATCCTAGGAACCTCCCAACCATCTTCCACACCTCCACGTTCACACCCATTTGGGATGCCTCAGGGTGGCAGTGTCAAACACAGCCTACACCACAGTGACTCAGACCTCCCACAGATCCCATCTGGACCTGTACACTGCGTGATCCCCTACAGCCTCCCTTCTGTCAGGGCTTGGCAGAGAGCACAGTTCTGCAACTGCCCAGTGGCACAACCAAGGGAGGGACACACATCCCAAAACGTACAGCACTAAAAAAACCTCAACGAACAATAAGAAAGAGAGGCAGTGGGGATGTAGTGCCATACACCCCACAGAAAGTACCCTTGAGAACTGCAGTCTCTGTCCTTCCATTTCTTGTAGACATGTCCAAAGAACTTGTGTAAGGATAAGTCTCTGTAGACTTCTCTGAACTCCCATTCTGGTTAAAAAAGGTCTGCTTCAGCTTCTAGCAAAACCACAGAAGTATTTATAGAACTAAGTTGCAAAATTTGTGTCTAAGGGCTTTATCCTTTCAAACATGCCAGGATTTTAAATCAACTTCAATACAGAGCAGAACTGTTTGCCAGCTGGTTCCTTCCCTCTCTCCCATGGTATTCTCTTGCCCGTCCTATACAATACACACTGCTAACTTATCTCCCTAATTATGGGGTGAAGCATCAAGGTTTGAAATATATTTTATACATGCTTGTCAAAGCCAGTAAAAGGTTCTACAGCATGGGCATCACTAGAACATCCCACACATCACCTGCAGCTTCTGTACCACATGGTGGCAGTGAAGATCGGGGAATTGCAGCCTGTACAATCTCTTAGAGGCAATAAAGCATGACATTCTCCACCTCCCAGAGGGAGGCAGAGGGAGAAATGGTGCTCCAGGGAATGCAAGAGGGAACCCTTCCATTCACAGCAGCAGCCTGAGCCTGCTGGGGTTGGCAGGGCAGGCAGCAGCCCAAAGGGAAGGCAGCACAAGAGATGCCACTGGGTAAACCTTTCTCCTTCAAACAGGCAGACTGCCATGCTCTTCTTGGTAAGGTCTCTGCAGCAGCTGCATGTGGAAGAGGTGAGGAAACCAGCCATTTTGTCAAGTGCTACTCTGACGCACTTCCCAAGGCCACTTCTCTGTGGGCACTGCAGGCTTGGCTGGCTCTGACTTCCTGCTATTGTTCAGGACATTCCATTTTACTTTGAACCTTGAGCCTGGGCTTAGAGCACGAAAATCACGTTTCAGGACCAAAGCAGAGAATTTGCTGCAGTCTGCTGCTCTTCTGCGAGAACAGAAAACTCAGAGCTCTTTTAACAGCTGCACGTGGGGCAGCAGCCAGTCAGTGAAGCAAAGGTTTGCTAAAGACTTATAGATCAACCTGGTTACCATCATTAATACTAGTTCAAATTTGCAAGTGTCTCACCTGCCCATACCATTGCCAACAACAGTTGGTTTCCATTATCTATGCAAAGTCGCCCCAGCTTGAGTGAAGTTAAAAAGGCAAGTGTAAACTGCTTCTTATTTCAGTTCTCCTCCCCATACTAGAACAAATGCCTCAAAGCAATGCGAGAGAATAGGAATTTTACAGAGATGGCAATAGCTCAAGCATTACCTCTATATTACAGCTATAATCATTCATCTCTGACTTGACTCATAGTCCTACGGTGGACTGAATACTCTGCACACAGAATATTCCAGTGCAATAAGGTTCAGATGTTAGTATTAACCACAGCCAGAGCAAAAGGCAACAATTTTTTTTTTCTTTTAGACCTGTGCTTATAAATCCTCATCCCTCACACTCCTGGGATCATATGGGAATGAGCTCCATATGCTCACGGGCACAAATCCAACAGCCAGTCTTCATTGGGAAAGAGCTTTACAATGCTACAGGATCTAAACCCTCTCTATACCTCTTATTCTGCCAAGTGTGTGGGACGCTGCAGACAATGGAACTGAACATGAGGGCTGTGACAAAGGAGAAGAGAACCAGGTAGATGAGGCCTTCCACTCCATCGTAGCAGAAGCCTGTCAAAGCCTGGACATAATCCTGCAGAGAGAAAGGAGCAGTTTCCTGATCATTACACAGTTAACACTGAGTTCTAACTCAAAAGTCCTTCTCCAGACTACATTCTCTGAAACAACTTATAGAGATTGGAGTCCCTTTTCCAGAGCATATTTCTATTTTAATTTCAGGGACCTTAAGTATTTTTCATAACTGATCTAACCTTTATTTCCCCTCACAAAACCCAGCTTGGATTTAGACGTGGAAATATTTTCAACCCCACACAATAAGACTTTAAGGGAGGGGGGGGGGAAAAAAAGCCAAGGCAAACTTATCCACCCAGCTGAAGACACCATATTTTTCATTAGGCCTTTCAGCTCCCTGTGTCCCATGCCCAAGAACACAAGCATGGACTATCTGTGTATCTGCCTTTAGAGACACAGCTGGAACAACAGCTAGGCCATGCTATCCTGCAGCTCCAAGGCACTGTACTCCATGGGAAAGGCAACAAGTTATGTGCTATAGACAAAAAAAAAATGCCCCTAAAACCTTATGGCTCCAATTTGTAGATGTATAAAGCCACATTATCTACTTTCCTATACTGATCTTTAAGCAGAAAGCTAACTTGATCCAAATTCCCATTCCCCTTTCTGCTGGAATCAATCAGTAAAAAGCTGTTGTAAACTGTTCTGGCACACTAGAGATTTGAAACTCTGAAATAATCAGTAGGTTACAGGCTATACACCCCCTTTGTTCTTTCTCAGCTCAAGCCCAGTTATTGAGTACTCACCAAATGCAGACTCCGACAGTCCACTAAAGCTGTCAGCTGCTGCAAGTTGATCTCTGTTGAATTCAAAACCTCCTGGATCCGAGTAAGATACTCCTGTAAGGAACAAGCTATTGATTACTGCAAGGGAATGGCTTAGCAGGAGCTGGTCTTGGGTTCTGTACGAGGTTGAGGGAAGCCAGGAAGAGCAAACTTGAGGAGAGTTACCTTGGAGGTGGGGTGCTCTCTGGTCGCTGACCTCATGAGTTCCATAACGTCATCCTGCATTTCTACCAGAGCCTTGTGACTTCCTGACAGCTTCTGCTCAACACAAAACATGCAATGTTTCAGCAGTTCAGGCCACATGCACCGAAAGATCCCCTGGAAAAAGACTGAAATCCTATTTCCCAAATATTGAAGCATGAATGGTACAAGTCAAAGTTGTCTCAACTGACAAGGATTCAGCTGTGAAAGGGTTAAGCCTGAGTTTTACCAAACTGGAAGAAGTACAGACAGAAAGATGAGGGGAGGGAAGAACCAAAAGGAAAGGAAAAAAACCAAACAAAGAACAAAACACATACACAAACTATACACACAGCTGGGGCTGGCTCTAGGACAGAGGGGAAGGAGAAAGAAAAGACATAAAGCCCTCGAGTTCTCACCACAGAATACAGCTGGATTTCTTTACTAAATCAGGTGGATGAGAAAGACTTAATGTTAACACCAGAAGTTGTTTGTATTAGGGTGCAGCCTTCACATCCCATTAAAGCATCCACGAGAATTTCACATGCAATAGCATGTCAGAGAGTACATGGAGCAACCAGAAATGCAACAGATAGCGACAGTGCATCATACCACAGCCTGGAGTGTTCCTAACCCACCCTTTAAAACAGAGGAAGACAAACTTAAAAAAATCCTAAATATAAATGGTGAAGTAGCTGGGGCCTGCCAAATGGTGGGTGGTGTGGGCTCATCTGGCCTCTGATACATACGACCAAGTTTGGGATGGGCCCAGGTGCTGTTCTTCAGCCCCCTCACAAAAGAATAATGACTCACATTTATACTTCAGGAAAAATCCTTTGGATGTTGAAAGGTTTGTAAGAGGCATATGTGAAAACCACTCATTCAACCCACAGAAGTGGCTGCATTTTGGGAGTGGAGTGTTGCCACTGTTTAACCCAAAAGAACTTTCAAGAAGAGATTCAAAGCAGGAAGCAGCAGTTTCCCACCCTGGCATTAATTGTGGGTGCTCTGTCTCCACGCTGCTGCTCTTAGACAAGCACCATATAAACAGAGGTACCACAACAAAAGCCATAGTCCTCACCACATCACACACAGGTCCCTCTGAGGGGGCATCCTGGACCTGAAGCTGTGCAGATAGTGATGAAGTTGGAAAAATCTCCTCACTAAATCACAGTGCCACCTCCTGCACAGCTGGGAAGGAGCTGCCAAAGCTTTACCAACAGTTTGAGTGCTCCTTAAAGCCAACAATCTGCAACTTGCTGCATGCTGGCATCAACAGCACTTCACCTATACCCTGCAGGATGACAAGACCCAGGGGTGAAGGGAGTTAGGGTGCTTACACTCACCTGCTGGAAAGGGTTGGGGTATCCAGCACTACAGGTCATGTAATAGCGCAGAATATCTATTAAGACACAAGAGAAGAAAGTCAGGCCAGAGACGTGGTTCCAGCTTTGCAGTATTTTACAACTGCCACGAGGGAGGTGTTCAGTTCTGAAAGCAATGCACAAAATGAAAACGCAATATAAATGGAATCACTTCCCTCTCTCCATGTAGGACTACAGTGCATAGATGGCATTAGAGAAAGGGATGTAAACTGCCTTTGGGGACAAAAGAAAGATTTGTTTCCTTTCTGTTTGTTTTGTTTTTTAAGCCAGTGAAAGGCAGTGGGGCTGCTCCACTTAAAAACTTAGATAAAACATAAAAATTTTTATTCAGAAGTCAGCACTATCCACTGTATAAACTTAAGACAAGACATCGGTCTAGGATAAATCCAACTACGGTACAGTGGAGACATACTCATAAATTTCCAGATAGAACTGATACTGTGCTCTTCCAGCAGCATCATTTATTTCCAGGCTTGAAGACAGTGTTGTGTTCCTCTTCATTCAGATGTGTGTGAAACCAGCCTGGCGCCCTCGTGAGCCCTCTACATAACTACATCAACTGCCAGCACACACAAATTACAAATATCAGGCTTTCCCCTGCCACTCTCAATAATACTACCAAGGGAGGGAGCTCTGAAAGACTTGATCATCCAAATACCTTTAGATTATTTCTCAAACATTTACAGTTCCTCTTCAGATGAATATGGGTGTGCCAGCTCAGCAAAATCAAGGGTGAGCTTTAGCTCGGTAAGGACTACAAAAGCCCCAAAACACACATACCCTCTGCATTCCCTCTCCACCGGCATCTTTTCCTCCATTCTTTTTAATCTTCTGTCTGTGACTTCCAGTAACACATACTCCAGGCTGCAAAGCTATTGTGATGAGTCCCAGCTCAGAAATCAGCAAAAGGCACAGCCAGAAGTGAGGGGAGCCGTGAAGGAAGCAGACCTGACTGTATCCTGACTCTGCTGTGCTTCCCATAAATATTGAATGCACCTTTCGGCAAACCAACACGCTGGAGACCAAGTGGTACAACACAGACTGTCAGCTCCTGCACGCTGGCAATGCAACCTGACAGCTGTTATTTATAATTCATTAGCCTACTTTGGGGCAGCTTCTGCCAGCTGCTCCATCTCCCTCCCACCGACTCCTTCTCTGGGATGACTTATATTGCCCCAGCCAAGCCTCTAAACAGCAATTAGCAAATTCTGGGCAGATAGGAGGGCAGTAAGAGCTGCTCTGTGCCTCACTTTGGGCTGACCACAGAAGAGACTGTCTGCTACTGCTGAGCCAAGGAAAGTGCTGCTCCTCCCCAGCTCATAAATCTCATTCAATGGCTATGGGAAAATGGATTAAAACACACCTGCACTGAGAGAACAGCATAGCAACAGCAACCCACAGCATCACACATGGTGACCCAAAGGAGCTGTGATCTTGTCACCAATTTAGTTTAAACCAACAAAACATTAATAGTTTCTCCTGGGCTCCCACAGTGGTATCAAGTTTACATCACCTTTGTAAGTGCAGTAAGTTGCATGACATACTGCTAATGCAGAGCCCTAGAAATATTTCTTGAGGGCCTTCTGGATCATCCCTGGTGGGCAGATTAGAGATGAGAGTTCCTGATATCATAGTTTGCAGCTTGTAAGCCCAGGATAAAGATTGCTGGTTACAAGTGAAGCAAAAAGCAGTACAGTGAAATAAGTGCTTGCCTTGCTTCACCCTGGAAGGCAGGATCAACAAGGATTCACTATGGTAGCACTGGCTTTGCTGCTGACAAGTGTGACACTCCATACATAAAACATGCTTCCCAAAATGACAATGCCATCAGGAGCAGCTTTCCTCTGCACTGAACCCAGTGTGCTACAAGCTGTGGTGCTTTAAAGCTCAGGCGACAATAGGCAGGGAAGCTGCCTTAAAGTGCTCTTGTGCTGCAAAGCCTGGAAATTAAGGACAGTGTCCCCTGCCTCCACAACACCAGGGAAAGAGCAGGAGGCACTTTCACGGGTTTTAAGCCTGGTGGAGGCTATCCTGTACATCACCAAATCTCACATTTCTGACCTGAAAACGGCTACGCTAACCCATCACTTGCACTTTGCTAAAACAGCTCCAGGCAATTTCTTTCTATAATTATCTTCCTGATGCATTTTCCTCTCAAGGAAAATTCCTGAAGGTTGATTTGATTTTTGAAGCTGGCCTTTAGGTGATCTAGTTTATAGCAGAAGGGTTAGGCAGGGTCACACCTGCAGCTGCCCATGCCTGCTGTTGCCAGCAACAATCCTCATGACCCACTCTTGGTACAAAGGTAATGTGGGAGCAGAAGGCAAGGAAGGGAACTACCTAAAATGCTTTAGTTTTGCAAAGTCTGTTTTTCCTAGAAAGGAAAGTAGAGCTGCCTACTAAAGACAGCTTCAGCTGCTAGAACTACTTACTGGTTCTGCGACTGTGGAGACTTACTACTCACTTCAAAGCCCAGCCAAAATGCAAAAATGGCATTAAGCACCCGCCAAAAGGCAGTGAGAGGGTCTGTAGAAAGCAATCAGAAAAAAAATGCTAGCTCAAAAAAAAAAAAAAAATCCCCATACCTAGAACAGCTTTTCACAGCCCTTCATCTCTACTTGAGCATTCTCCAAGCAGTTTGCATTTTACATAGACACCCAGAGGAGGTTGTCCCTGTGGGTTCAATCAGAGAAAGCTGAAGAATATCACCTGTGATGTCAAAGGAGGGTGACTCTTTTGGCTGGAGTTTCTTGCCCAGGTAACATGTCCTCCCCAAGGAGTTTTGTTTCCCTAAGGCACCAGCCTGACAGCAAAGGGAAGTATCTGCATAACATTTACATTTCTCTCATATATCCTACTCTTGTATTGGTGAAAGCAGAGAGCTTGTAGCCACCCTACTTGCCCTCCACTCAGAGCCTTCTGCTAATCAGGAGTCCAACAAAACCACACAAGAAAACAGCTTCCCAATGCCACCATCAGCTCAGCAGGATCCTTGAGAGTGCTTCTGTGGCAAACTCTTTTCTGCAGCGTTCTCTGAGCTCAGGTAAGTGTGCAGACACCACATGCCTCACACAAGGTTTTGTCCTGATCTTACTTCTAGTGAGGAAACTGAGGTGGTGGTGGTGGTGTCAATCCTCTGGTTCATTCAGCTCTGGGCTTCTAAGATGAGAGTGAATCAGTGAGAGGCCAGTCAGGAGGCTGGCCATGACCAGAACACTCCCTGCTTATATCTGAGCATCCAACCTGGCCAGCTTGGCTGGACCAGAGGTAAAAGGCTCCATTATCCCCCCCCTGAGGTTTACAGCTCCCTCAGATGAAGTGAGTGGCTGTTCACCATGCAGATTTCTGGTGGGAGAATCTGGAGAAAACTCTTCCTGTTGTTTAGACAGATTGTGCCTTTTTATTTAATTTTATGCAATAAGTCATCTGATAATAGCATTATATCAATGAAAAAGAATGGGACTAGAAGATGGCCTCCTGCTTTGAAAATAAACATCTTGGCTGCACCAAGTCTTTTTAGAAGCAGCAGGAGCCGATTATACAGCCACTGTTCAACTCCATTGGCTTTATCTCAGTTAATGAATACAGGGTGAGTTAGTCACATACATCAGCCTCTTCTGCAAAATTATTTAAGTATTTCCTTCTCCAGGAAACCTGCATTAAGGTTCTTTGCCTCCTTCTTCTGCCCCCCCATCATTTTTTTAACGCAGCACATTTTATTATCTGCAAAACAAGAACATCTCCTCTCTAGCTAAAAACATGACAATAATAATGCACTTAATCAGATTATTCTCAGCTCCATTAATTCCATTTAGATTTGAAAACAGCAATTAATGCATAAACAAGAATATTAACATACTAGTTGCTCAGTATTCAACACAGTTATTTTTCTGTGAAAACTACAACCACCACCAACAAAAAAACCATTGCAAATATCGATGACTCAGTCCCAGTGTTAATGGCAGAGCATAGGGAATCTTACAATACATTGTATTTAACAACACCAACTAAAAACAATGATTAAAGAGAAAAATTGACCCAGCACTACCAAGCTTCTTAGGATTACTTGTTGGTTCTTATATCCTTAAAATCAAACGGCAGTACCTAGCCTAGTATGACAGACCCCAGCACTGACCAAAAGCAGATACCTCTTTGGCTAGACTCTCAGACCAACTTCAGCTAAAGTGATTCCCAAGCCAAGTGTGATTCCTACATATATGTTAACTCCCCATGGATTCTTCTTCCATGGTCTACCAGAGCTCCTCCACCCACTCACGCTCCCCTTTTTAGTCACTTCTTTTCTGAACTGAAAAATTCACAGTTGGGTACCCTGTGGTGAAACTTGCTGGAGCAATCAAAGTGTTTCTGCCTCACGTGTCTATACTGGTGTTAATGTTGGAGAACATAATCCAAAAAGCAGAGAGAGCAAACCAGAGAATATGAAGAGTCCATGCACTGGAACCAGGAGCCTTCAAACAGGGCATCTTCCTCCTAGAGGACAGCATCAATGCTGGCTCCCAGATGCCTGCCCTGTCTCCTTGAGCTCATCACTCTGGTTGTATACATGGCTCAACTGATCCACAAAGCAGTTGCTACAATTTACAGCCAGGGACATTCAGGATCACCAACACTTATTCCAGACTTTTAAAGATTTTTCTAAGGAGCCATTATTGGGATTAAAGTGCCACTGAGCAGTGCCATACTTCACTCCTCATGTCGTGATTTTCCTTCCTCCTCATAAGGGCTCCAACAGTGGAGACCAAAAGCTATTTCTGCAGCTTCCTGATCATAAACTATGACACAGCAGTGAAAACCCACATGGGAAAGGCAGAGGATTCGATCATCGCCCAACCAGCTGCCTGGTGTGATGGCAGGCTCGGGAGTTAGACTGATATCCTTCTGGAAAAAGGGAAAAACACGAACGCTCAACGGCTGCCTCACAGCAGGGAGCTGACACACCAGCCACCCACGGAGGGGCCACCCTTCCAACTCCAGCCTGTGGCAACACCTGCTCTTCCTCCTCTTCACCGTTTTGCTCAGACCCATTCACTGTTATTTATGGAGCCCTAACAACTGTTCTAGCCGGCGGTGCTGCCAGAGCAGAGCCTGATTTCACCCGGGGGAGCTGCCTGTCCCTGTCCGTGCCGGGGAAGCGGGAGGAGGGGCGGAACGTCAGTCCTGTGGGCCTCCAAATGAACGACACTGATTAACGAAAACTGCAGGAGCCAAGCAGACAAGGACAACTGAAACGGAGAAGGAGCACAAAGGGGCCTTTCTTCAGTTTCCCAGGGTCAACCTGACTGTTACCAAACACGCTCCAGAGCTGATCTGGGTTACCAAATTATCACAGCCCATAGCTGGCATCAGCATCAGATGTTTCCCCTTGGCCTCACTGACCCATTTGCCTCCTTGAACAACCAGGAAACCAGCTTGGCACCTGAAGCCACGTCTTTGTCACCTTCACAGCCAAGACAGGATTTTCATCTTGTGCAGTGTTAAACACTCATTCTCTTCCCTCACTACATCTCTGTTACAAAGAGAGCTGCCTGGCTCTATCATCTCCTTCCCAGGAAATAAGGTATTCCAAAAATAAGATGTAGGGTGGCAATATCAATCTGTACATACTCTTTTATTCTACATTCTGCCTCCAGACATAGATGCTTCTTATTGTTTCCAATCCCTGCATCCACAGCCATAGCTACATACCTAATTTCCTACCAGATGCACAGAGAGAGACAGCATTTGGCTAAACACATAGCCATACACTCAACCTTCTGCACACACGGCAAAGATTTTCTGATTCCACTAAATAAGAACCAGGAAAAATGCAAGTGGCTCCTTTTGCAAATCAGTGTCATTGCTTATTTGTGTTTTATCATACACAGAACTAGATAAAGGAACCATCAGGGGAGAGAAGATAGGGAAAAAAAAGTTAACTTTCTTAACTAAGAAGCAAACTGAGTCCTAAAAATACTTTTCTTTTTAGAACTTACAGTATCTCTGCTGGCAGGCACCAAGCCACCTTTTTGTTAAGCAATGGTTCTGAGTGCCACTTTTGCCCTCCTGAGGTTCAAATTAGAGGCACCCCTAATCTCACCAGCCACTTCAGTCTAAATTAGGAAAAACAAACCCCAAATCCATCAGTGCTTCAGCTGGATGCCACTGTGTTGCAGGTATATTATCTTAAGTGGAACAGGATTAGCAAAGTGGTCAAAATACCGCACTTATAACAGAAAGGGAAATTCATACTTCTTTGTGGCAGTTTCCATTCATTTACTCTTTCAATTAGCTCTAGAGAAGCTACTATTTATAGCCACTATTAAGATAAAAGCTTACATGTTTTTGTTGATAACAGATACAAAAATAAGCATTCTAGATTCAAGAATATAGACCTCAGAGCAAGTTTTAAAAATGACAACTCAAACTGCACACTGCTCTTGCCACAATTCTGTCACTTAGAAAGGAGAACGAGAGTCAAGAGTGCTACATTTAATGCAAAATAATCCAGGGACTTCAGTTATTCCATCTTATTGGTTATTTCCATTTAAAGGTCAAGGCAGAAGAAAAATTCTGAAGGTTTTTCTGAGGCATATGTCTATACTTCTGACCAGGGTATAAATGCCTCTTTGGAAAAAACACTATTTCCAGAGCTCCACACGTATTGTTTTCCCACTGTATGCCAGCTCCTCTGTTTCAAACACAGCCTCAAATTCTCAGCCACTGCCATGCTCCCATGTGACAGCTGGAGCTGCAGAACCCTGTTCCAAAGCCAGTCCCAGCACTTACCAGGACTGAGCACTGCATTCTCTTCAACCACTTTGGAGATATAAGCATCAGGGTTGATACAGAAGTCACTGGAGCCCTGGATACGTGGAAGACAAAAGGGAAAAGGAATATCAAAGCACACTAGTATCAAAGAGCAGTTGAGCCAGGTTAGCATCAGAGAACCTTCTATTCTAGGGGTGTTTCAGATGTTGAGGTCTCTCGTCGCCACCCCCACCAGCACTGCTTTACACAAGCACAGCAGTGCTGGAGTACAAGCTACCACACCACACCAAGGAGCAGCTCTGTACCTTTCCTAGATGGAAATTGCTAGGACAGTTACTTAGAACAGGATATGCTATAAAACTGGCACAGCACAACATTAATCTCGTGTCTGCTAAACCTGCGGCAAAGAGTGGACGGGACTTGGATGAGAGCCACTTACCACAGCGACAGCCAGCTCCAGGCCCAGGGATCCCCAGCTGACAATCAGGGCAAACACCCCAAGCAAGCACACCCTGTGGGAGACAGACAGATGGCAGATGTAGCAGACCTGATTTCAAGCAGTTCCTTTCACAAGATGTATTATTTGGAGTCCAAAACAGTTACCGAACCCAAGAAATTATCAACCACTGACTGTATCTTTAGATAAATATTCCTGTTTTAAATGCCATGGACAGCAGCAACCAGAGAGGTTCATGTCCAGCTATTGGTTCCCACATTGCCTGCCCTGAGTCTGCAGGGGAAAGGGGGAGAGTGTGGAAGCAAAGTATTGCCCTACTTCTAGCAGGGAAACCAAAGGCACAAAGATATTGGGGTGGCTGTAGGGGAGGCAGATTGGCAGGTGGGTGACCCATCACTTTCCCTGTTCCCTTTCTGGACTTTATTTTCCAGGTCCAAAGGTAATCAAAGAAAGATATTCTATATAAAGAATATATTCTATATATTCTTATATATATATATATTCTATATAAAGAAAATCTCACTAACCCATACTGATTCAAAATTGGACAAATCTCTCCCGTGTCTACAATAAATGAGGTTTCTTGGTGTAAGCACTACATGGCTACAGACAGCATGAGGAAACATTCATCCCCTGTTAGGACACCTGACTTTGGTTCCAAGCTGATGCACCTGAATAGCACCTAAGAAACCCACATAGCTCCAGGAAAGACAGTCACCTGCAGGCAAACAGTTCACAGCAACAGTTTAGGTCCCTACCACTGCCATGTGAGTCCATCTTCGCACAGATTTAAGGTTTTGTTCTGACAGCTGGACCTCATTACTGACAGAAAGGGTGGGAAGTGTCTGCTATCAAGCAGACAGAAGGCAGAGAGATGACAGAGCAGTGGTCTTGGTGACATTCAGCTGGCACACACTGGTGGAAAAGACTTTTGCACTTCCCCAACCAGCACATTAGCTCTTCACCCTTGCTGTCAGTATGAGTGGTAGAGATATTCAGGCAATAGTGCTCCTCAACTCCCTCAGGTACAGGGATGCAGACTAATAAGCAGTTTCATTTTATGTGTCTCTGTCTTCAAAGTAAAGGGCTTGCTCTCTTAGGGATGCTTTTTCCCCCCTCAGGCTTTGAAACATAAGTAGATTCCTTCCCACCCACACCCTAAACAATACAAAAATCTGTTCATAACCAAGATATTCTTTATTCAAACCTAGTGCAAGCATCTCTGTGAGGAAGGGACATACCTTTTTTCTGCTACATTTCTCTCACTGAATACTAGAGCTTTAAAAAATAAACTTCTGGGCCTCCATTAAAAAAAAAATTTCTATCCCTCAGTTTACCAACTTATTTTAATTCCAAGTAATCCCTATTCTGTGAATGGATCTGTGGCTTATCTTGCAGAACTAAGGGAGCTTCACCAGACTGACATCTGTGCTGCACTCTGAAATAAGACACTAAAGACTTTATTATGCCTTTTCCAAATGGACACAAAAATTATCAGCCATGGATCAGCAAGGTTCTGAGGTTTTATGACATAAGGACAACACAGCTTGGTGCCTCCAGCTGAGCATGTTAATCAATAAGACACATTTGTTGTTTTACTTTAAATGAAGATGACTGGGTCAGTAACTGATTGCTTGGCTAAAAGATCTAAAACTGGCATTTCACCATCTTGCCTGGCTGTGATACACTTGCTTCTTTATGCCATGTGCTCCCTTTGGGGAATGCCTTCATATGAACTTCTGGCTAACAGGGAATGAGATTCTAATTTAAACCCTGGGTTTGCCATCTGTGTGTGCACTTGGACTTTTGTCTCTATAACCTGCCAGGTATGAAATCATCTGGCAAATAATAAAATTGAATACACACTCCAATTATTAATGGCATCACCACATACCAGGATAAACTCTTGGCCGTGTCAGTTGTCAAACTGTCACTGTGTTTATGATACCAGTGTCTTTGCCAAATATGCCAAGCTACACCAAGCTACAAGATGGGGAGGGGAATGGTTTTTCCTTGTAATAGGGCATTTTCAGTGCTTTTTAGATATAGTCATGCATTAATATTGCAGTACCATGGCAACAAGACTCCTCCTCATAACTGTAAACCATTGCTTGTTCTCAGTTTAACATTTCTCCAGGTGTGACAGCCCGAGGTAAACAAGAGCAGATCGTGACACAGAAGGCATGCTACCAGGTTGTGTAGACACATGCAATGCTCATCATCAATTAACAAACACCTTCCCAACTGGAGAGAATCAAAGGGAGATTTTTAAAGCCTGTAATTTTAAGGGAGGATGTTCACAGTAAATGGAAGCTACCAATGCCACCCAGTGGAAAGCAGACCGTGCAGATGAGTTCCTCATCTTTGATGAGAAAGCAATGGACACCAGAACCACTGCCTTTTACAGCTCAAGAACCTTCCTGTGAACATCTTGTGTACGTAGCCCTAATCCTGTCCACAGAGCTGCACTCCACAGAGTTCCTCCACTCCGAGAGGCAAATTTAAAATGTTCAGTTTCAGATGTTCTTGATATCAACTGACAACAGGCAGAGGTTCACACTGGCTGGCACTTGCATTCAGCTGGCTTTCCTTATGCCCTGTGCCCAGGTCAGGACTTACCCCATAAGAATGGCCCTGGAGTTTCTAATGAGCCCAAAGAGCACCAGCAAACATATCAGGACATGAAACAGGAGCAGGCCCAGGTATCCCAGCCATCTGCAGAAAACAAAAACACAGTCTGCAAAGGAAAACTGGTGTATAAAAAGCACAGAACAAGAAGCTAGTGTGATTTATGAGGAAAACATGGCCCTTGTTTTCTTCTAGTAAAAATCACCACTAATGACTAACCTTCAGAGAGCTCTGGCTATTTGTAGGGTCTGGAGTTGAGGCAGGTAGAAGCATTTATACAACACACCCATCATACACAGTTGTTGAGAAATGAGACTGCTAGTCTTGTTCACACAATAGTGTGAAGTTATATGCAACTGGTCACCATTAGAAGAAGAAAAGGCATTGTAGCTTCTTGAACTTCCGAGACATTTGTTAGGAAATGCTTCGGTTATTTATTCCACATGTGTGGGTAGAGGTTTTCTGTTGTGGAATATAGCTGATGCAATCTTTTATTAAATATGTTTAATAAAAAGGAATGTTAGGGTGCAGTGTTAACTTATGGAACTAGTGCAGTTTTCTACTCTGTTTAGTTAATCTGTTCTATAACCATGTTTTTTCCCCCCCATGGTTTGTATGCTAGAACACAAACTACAGATTTTGTACATTGAGAATAAGTTTCTCTTCAGCTGGTTGTAAACACAGTTTAGAAAAAAAAGCTGTTGTGCATTTTGATTTAAAGTGGATTCAGTTTTGCTGTAAAATGAATCAGCTGCGGGGGCCAAGAGCATCTGCAGTGACATACAGAGCCTCTGGCTCAGCCACCCAGAACATGCACATAATTTTTGCAGAACAGGCCAAAGCAGATTCTACAACCACTGCACTACAGCACTACTACTGTGACACACCTGTACCAGTCATAGAGGTCAATCTGAATCGCCAGCTCCTCCAGAGACACCTCTTCATTCTTCCAAAAGGGGATCTCAGTTGTTTGCCTGACCAGATCATCCAAGAGACTCTGCAGTTTCTGGACAACATGCAGGTAGTCTGTCTGCTTCGTGAACATCTCCTCCAGCACTAGCAAGTTGGGTTCCACTGTTTGGTTCAGGGCCACTGCAGTATCCAGCACCTGGAGTATGGGAAAGAAAAAAGAGGGGGAAAAAAAGAAAAATATTGAAGGACAGGAAGTCAAGGAAGTTAAAGGGAAGTCATTCTTACTAGCAAGTCATGGACAGCTTCCAGATTATCAGTCCTCTACATTAATAGGCTCAGACTGCTTACCCTTCAAAAGCAACTTAAAAGCATCTGTAATGGAGATTGTTTGCAAGTAGCCCAGTGATGGTACTTTAGCTGAACACATATTCACATTTTGCAGCCATCAGGGTTGCAGTGTGATACTGTGGAAGTAGAGGTAGCACAGGAACAACTGATGGTACTGAAAGGCAACATTTTACTAAGAGATTTGTCTGCTTTGGCCTGCCTCCTCTTCCTGTTGTGGAAGAGAGCTGATCAGAAGCTGTTTTTAAACCTAGCAAAGAGAAGACTTCATTTAACAAGCTGTGTTTGCTTTGATATTTTTAGAAGAGCTGAAGAAATCACCGCGCCATTAATGGAAACGTTAGCACATGTATAAGCCCAGATACGAACGAAAAACAGGAAGAGACACGGGCGCAGCCAGACTGGAGAGGAGAGGTGCTGAGCAAGTCTGCTCATTCCCACCCTGCCCATATCTGCTGCCACCCCTCCCGGTGCTCACCCGGTCCTGGACACCGGCCACGGTGCGGTTCGCGTGGCGCAGCGAGTACGTCAGCCGGTGGATGCCGTCGCTGGTCTCCCCATTCCCATAGAATCCCACAGCAATCCCAGCACTGCGGAGAGAGAAAGCAAGAAAGGGGAGAGTTAAAGCTAACAGGCAAGTTGTGTAACACAGGGCTACAGCACCCCGGGTAGGCACATCAGCACCTTCCACAGGAAGGGAAGCCGCTGCCTCCCAAAGGGAGCTTGGAGTGATTATGCTCCTCGGCAACCGCTGGAAAAACACACCTGTAAACATTCTGCACAGCATCCCTGTGATGAAGGGCAAACCACAAGATGCATATTTAATTTATGGTAAAATAATGAAAATCTGTCAGAGAACTTCCTGGTTGTCTGTGGCTGGATCTGAACTCCCAAAAATCCAGCCGGCCACGCAGCTCTCCAGTGGCTCCTGCAAGAGCTGCCATTGCTGTGCCAGGAGACGTGTGCTCTCTCTGGACAGGAAATGCGGATTGTTTTGCTACATTTGTTTAAAGCAGGACACAAAGAGCTTGCTGTGACTGTTTGCCCGTGGTGGTGGTTCCTCTGGATACATTTTGCCTGCCCTTTTCTCTACCTTGTGAAGTATCTATGAACATCATCTTGATTTATCTTCCCATTAGAAACATTTTTGTCACACTGATTTAGAGTACTGGGAAGGGAGGCTTAATAACTTACTGGGACAAAATACTTATTTATTTTTAAAGCAAGTGAATTTCAAGCTTGCAGACACAATTCAACTCCAGCCGCTTAACAAATTACCACCTATCAGCTGATTTGCCATAACTGTCCACACATATCAGTCTGGCCCAATTATGAAGTAAACCATATTAAGTTAAGCCTCACTTAAAGGAGGAAGATCCTGTAAATGAATTGCAACCAGAGGATTATCTCATGCAAGTCAGCAATACCTCTTGTATTAAGATATCACTGCAGGAACTCACAGTTCCTCTGCCCAAGCCCATATTTTCTAATAATAGAAGAGTAACGAACTTGTGAAGGGATCACACAACTAAACTCAGGGAAAACAAACATTACCAAGAGAGTTTTTCTGTTCTCATGTCATGTTTAGCTTGAGAGTATCCATGATCTTTTCTAGGAAGAATCTCAAGACACCAAGGTTGTGTTTGTGGTAGTGGCAAGCAAAGTGGTGGTGGTGATGGTTTTGTTGTAAATCTGAAGTTATTCTGGATGAAACATTTAGTTCCTTCACAACAGCTTTGTGCTTGGGTAATAGCACTGCCCTTACAAAATGGGTCTGAAGAAGGAATCAAAGAGGAAGGAAACAAGCCAAACAAGAGCTTTCAGAACAAGTAAGTGCCTTTGTTTAATAGGAAGGGTCACCAAAGGACATTAGGCTTTCCTCACCATCACCACCACCCAGCTGGGAAATGAACCCAAGCAGGCAGGCCAGAGTGGGCTTTGCCTACAGAACAGACCCTTGCAAAGATCTGCTCTGGTATGTTCATTGCAGTCCAAACAACTCTCCTCTCTTGCATCCATCCCTCCTTTCCTGGCCTCATCCACTTCGAAAGAGTGAGCAGAATAATATAGTTCACCTGGTCATATTTGTACTTTCTCCTCATATGTAACAAGAAACAGAAGGCAAGCTCATGAACTGGAAGCAGATCCACTAGGAAAATCTCTGTCAGCCTCATGCTTTTTCCAGCAATTGAATCTCCATAAATTATAGAGAGCTTGGCCCATAAAAGCCTCAGCTGAGGAGTCTTCTAGGGACATGAGGCAGCCTACATTGTATACAGAAAGAGAGGCAGCAGGTATGGAACTCTAAATATTTAGCATTAATAGAAGAAATGAGCCTCTGTCTTCACGAACACCATTCCTCAAACATTTTCCTAATGCAAATTATGCTGATAACTAAAGAGAGAAAAGCCCTCTGCATTCCTCCCTGGTTGCAGCTATTATCAGAGCTTGATAACGCATGCCTAGGATGCACGGGGGTGGAGGGGATAAAAAAGACACCATCCCTCCTCCCCCTGAACTAGAGAGATTACAGATCCAGAGCTATGCCCAGGATAAAGGCAACTCAGCATCCCATTGCAGCAATTGCAAAGCCGTGGCTTGAATTTCCCCTTGCCTTATCAGAGCAAACAAATTCAGACGGACCCTTTCATCCTCCTGAGCTGCAGAAAACTTTAACAGTTGTTTCTGTTACAGACACCAAATAAATTCCAGAACATTCTCGACACTGAATAGGCAGATCTGACCCTTTTCATTAGCGAGCAATTTCTATTCAGCCTGTTACAGCTACTAGAAGCCTATTCTTTCAGCACTTGGTAAGTACCCAAAACCTGCTGCTTGGCTCTCAGTATTCCCAGCACAGTAGCACTGTTTTGCTGAGAAAGACTCAGAACCAGCACTCTGAAGTAGCAGCAGATACGTTGTCCTTAAAGATGCAGCCCAGGCAGGTACATTAGCCAGGTTACTCAGAGGTACCAGCTAGGAAGAGCTGGCAACTACAGACAAATGACTTGAAACTCGTTACCCTGTTGGAGGCAGAACTACCCCAGCAGCCTTCCATAGGCTTCCCATCCATCCTTGCACCAACCACAGCTCCCACTGCCCCAACCCTCCAGGCACAGCCACTACTCCTGAAAGAAAACACTATAGCAACAAGAACTGGGATAAAAGCCATTTAATCCAAGTAATAAATTCCTCCAGACATGCGGCTCATACATTCACTGGAAACTACACATAAAGCATTAATTATTCCATTACTGCCCAGCAAAAGCCAGCCCTGCTTTCACACCCTGTGCTAGCAAGGGGCACTTACACAGCCATTCCTCCCCCTAGGAGCAGGCTGTACAGTTTTGTGGCAGTTCCCTTTCTATCACTCTAAAGAGGGAGGGAAACCATTCCAGAAGCCAGGCCAGGGGCAGCTGCCTGGACTCACGCTGTGACTGAGGAGGGAGCAGAGCTGAAGGGCAGGCAGTGAGGGAACTGCTGCTGCTTAGTTTTCTGTTTGCATTTGGCTTCATCTAAATCCAATCCAGTTGTTTCAAATCCCTGCCCACACACGCTGATATGAGTTGCTATTGTTTAAAGCAGATTTAAGGATTTACACTAGTTTTTAACTACCTTTTATATGATTAAAGGGAAACAGAGGGGCTCCTTCTATTTAAGTGCATTCTTCTAAAATAAAAATAGATCAACTCATCCTAACCCAACAGCATAAGTCCTTGAGGTCAGGACAAATCACATGGCTTCTTGCACGAACCCCGGGAGGCACAGTAGCCTAAGATACAGCAGATCCATCTCCCAGTACAGGATGACAAAATCATCACCCTATGGAGAAGCCTGTATTTTTGTCACACAGCCTGGATACAAGCACATCATTCCTGAATGACAAAGCTCTTTTCCACCCTAGCACCCTCTGGAAGATACTCCAACACATTTTCAGTGCTCTTATAGGAAAGTCATCTCTATTTCTGCCAATCTTGCTTCTGTCACACTCCCCTCCCTAGCACACACACACCCCTCTCTCCTCCCAAATCTATACTATCCCATCCTCAATTCCTTCTTCCAAACTTACCTTTATGAGTCTCCTGTCACTTCCACTACCATCACCACACCTCCCCTGCGTTCCTTCTCATTCATATTTTTGAGTAAAATCTTAAAAATTAATCTATCAAGGTCTTACAGACCATCTAAAAAGTTGCTCCTGCTACTCAATAGTGCACATAAAAAACCACTTGGCTACTCAATAATTTTGGTAAGTTTTAGGAAACCCACTTATTTAAGTCAAGAAAACATTGTACTTCTGAACTTAATGCTATCACCACCAGTGCACACCCACAGAAACCCACTAGATAGTACACTACCAGCTCCTCAAAGAGTTATACAAGGAGACAGAAGATCAGCATGTCAGGATTTCTATGTATTCCTACAGATACAACAGTGTGATTTAAAGGCCTGCAGGTTGTACACACACTTTAGTATCACTTTTCAGCAGGACTCAAGAAATTCAAGTCTGGAGAGCAGCTTTCCCATTGTTGGTATGCAAGAGTCACATGGGCTTTGGACCCCCCCGATAAAGAACCAGAAAAGACAAATCAAATGTCAATCTGAATTTGCTTGTAACATGACCTGCAAAAACCCAAAAAGTGTTTTCTGGATTTGCACAAGATATATATGAACAGCAGCACATGTATCTGATAGAGAGAGCACATATGTGCCTTCTGGTGACGAGATCCTCCTGCTGTAATACCCACACACGCAGCAAAACCCTCCTGGGTACCCAGCCACCAGTCTGAAAAGATGAGCACTAGCCATTCAAATCACATCCTTAGAAATGAATAATCTAACTACACCAAGTCATCTTTAATTACAGGAACTTCTTATGAAGAACCCTTTTTAGACTTCTTGTTCTCAGGAGGAATGTTAATTTGTCTGTCTAATTACCACCTTGCACTTTCGCACCGAGGGAAAGTGCTATTACTGGCACTTGAGAAAGGAAGTTTTCACCATTTATTTGTACCCATTTCTTTCAGGTATCATCTCCACAAAGCTTTCTTCCCACCCTAGGTGCTGAGCTCCCTTCTAGGACAGTTAGGGTCACCTAACTGGTGGATGAGATGATTTATAAGACAGCTCCCCACACACAGAAACCAAGCAAAATTGGTAAGGACTAGAAATGAACTAAGTATTCAAGGAATAATGTAGGCTAATAATTCCTGCAGCTTTGTGGCTGGAGCAACTGGGAAGGCTCATTAGAGACATTTTGTTGGAGAGCCCCTGTTAACCAGTTATGCCTCCCTGCTGGCTCAGCATTCTCCTTTTTGCACATGGGAAACAGTGAGATATCAGGAAACAGTGACCCAGTGCATACAGCAGGATTCACAGTACAAACAGCCCCCTGGGATTAAGTACAACCTAGATAAGTATGTACTAGGCACAGCTGGACTTAACCAGAGTTAACTAGTTCTCAGCTGGGAAGACAATAGTCCACTTCAAAGTACTCAGACAGACTGGACCAGCTGCTGGTTGGAACCTCTTGTTGTTTCAGCACCCAAGCCACTCCTCTCCTCTTGCAAACAGTGCTACAAACTGCCTCCCAGGCTGATGTTTGGAACAGCCTTACACCCCACTACAGCCACAGCTGGTCTGGCACTTCTGTTACGTGTAACACACAGCTAGGATAGAATATATCCGGCGGACCAATCTAACTGTTGGTACTTAACTGTGACTTCCTGCTAGCACAGATTAGAGTCCCTGCTTGTTGGAATCCGTATCTGCATTCCCAGACACTCACAGAGTGCCAGGAGCCTCTGGTTCCAGTGCTCTGTGGCATCCAGCTGCTGTAGAGGGGCAGAAAACCAACCTTGGCTCTGCAGAGGAACAGCAGCACTGGGACAGCACCTTCACTCACCGTGACGGTACCAACCTCCTCACTGTTCAAGTGTGCTGACTTCAGGGAGGAACTTAAAAACTTAATTAAAAAAAGTCAAGACAAATATTCACCCAATATCACTGTAGATTCTAAGTTCTAAGGATACTTCTGCATTTAATACTTGCAGAAACAAATAGTACACCAGTGGTTAAAATTTTGAGGAAGCCTAAGCAGTTTTCCAGCTTGTGGACTTGATAGAGTTGCATCAAGTTTACCAGAATTTATACTCAGACTTTCCAATTTTAAATTGTCTCACACACGCTCTGGAGAGGTGCAGAATACCTCCTTGTCACCCTTTCTACAATTAAAAACAAACACAACTACCACACTGCAGCAGCTGTCTCGGTCACATATGCTGCACAACAATAGCTAACAAGGGCCTGTAGCAGCAGCACAGGCTATAAATAGCATCAGCTAGAGCTTCTGTAAGAAAGGGTTAGGACCACAGCACTCTCAGTGGATTGGAATGGATGCAGCTGAAGCTCTTCAGCTCACTAAAAGGAAGGTGAATGAGGCTGAGATTTCTTCTTTGCGAGTTGTTCTGTGGTTTGCCTTTCCGTTCCAGGCACCTATTTGCAATCAGCAGAGCACAGAAGAGCTCCCTGCAAACACAGCAATACCAGGTGGTACAGAAGGTCTCCTCCACAGCCCTGAGCCCCTGCTTCTACAAGTAAATCCATCCCCAGCTGCTAAACTCAACACACAATGCCTGCTCTGCAGTGTTTGTTCCAATACTTCGAGGGTTTGCTATTCTCTTAAGTATGTGCCTCGAAAGAGAAAATACACAAATGCCTCAGCAGCACAGTCTGGCCCTTGAACAGCTGAGCCTGGGCTTCAAGGAACACACTCCAAACAGATCACACACCAGATCCACCACCCATCAGCAGGCTCACACAAAAAGTGAACCACAAGGCACCATCAAATACCATCGACTCATTGCTGTCTCCTCTGACTAAGGGACTGCTCCCAGACCTGCCAGACCCACAGAGGGGCAACCAAGGCCACCCTGAGTCTTGGGCAAGAGTAGATGATGCTTGGAATTGGTAAGAAATGCAGTGCTCAATGTGGGGCACACACATCCAGAGAGCTCCAAATACTCATTCTGCCCAAGTCAACACAAGATCCAAGGCTCCTTCTCAAAGTCTGCAAGCATGTACCTCCCTTCAGATGCCCCACCATTCACTTTCTAGGAAATTCTCTCTATGAATTCTTTCTACACACATTCTCCACTCATGACTGGATTTTTCTTGTTTTTCAAAAATCCTTTTTGTCACCTCACGCCCAAAAGCTTCTATTGCTCAGTCATAACAGGGAGCATTGCTGACCCTTGAACCATTACTTGGAGTGCCCTTGGAGATGGCACATTAGCAGAGATAATGAAATGCAGCAGTGTCTTACACAGGCTGCAAAATCTGAACGTTCCCCCCAGTCAAACACCAATCCTTCCAAACCCAAAAGAATCATCTGTGTCTCTTTCTTCCTAATCTACTCTCCCACACAGCCATTCTTTTTGGACACCAGATTCTAAGAAATCTGCATTTAGACCTGATAAATACTTCAACCGTGTGCATCCTATTTAAGTGATAAGCTCCCAAGGACGGAGTGTCCTTCATTTCTCACTTGAAAAGTATCAAAGAGCAGGACATCAGCTACTCCTTTTCACACTGCTCGAACCATTAGGCAGTTCGGCAAGCGGTAGAAAGGAAGAAAATACATGACAGATATTTAAAACACACACACATCAAACAGAAAGAGGAATTACTGCCAACAGTCACTAACTACAGACAGCAGGGTAAGTATGGAGGCGCATGCAGAGGATGCACCACCCCAAATAACTTCGGGGAACCCCCAAAACTTTGGGTGCGCGGACGTACCTGCACACGAGGGTTGCGATGATGACGCACCAGGCCGTGCAGCAGCAGTCAGCATTCAGGTGTTCCTCGCTCTTCCGATGGCGGCAGCACAGCCAGAAGGAGTAGAACAGGAGGAAGAGCAGGTCCAGAGCCAGGCAGGAGAGAGCGATGCCACCCAACAGCAACAGGGCCTGCGGGAAACAGGGGCAGGAAACACTCAGACCTGGGCACGGCACAGCCACAGCAGGGCAGGTCAACCAGGGCCCCCGTGTGTGAGGGCTTTGCAAGGTGTACCTCGAAAACAAGTCATTTTGTGGGTTTGGTGTGTTTTTTAAAACAGAAACAGGATATTTTCAGTCCCACTTTCCCCCTTCTCTGCATTCCATGTTCTGTACCTAAGCTGTAAATCACTGAGCCATTTTGTCTGTCTCAGCTGAGTTAATCAGTGAGGGTTTCCTCTTTACTCCTAATCACAGGTCAGCAGATTTAAAGAACAAAAATAATAATAATAAAAAAAAATAGTTCAGCCAGCTGCCTCTCTATCTCTACAGTTTTTTAATCTTCATGAATAAATATGCAGGCTTATTCATTAGAAATCCAAGTGCATGAGTGGGTTTGAAAGGGGGTGGAATTTATTATACATGCATGAGATTGATTTTTAAAAAAATTAATCCCCATGCAATGCTTCTGTTCAAGGTAGACCTAGAATAAATGGCAAACCCCTTCCATATACCATCCACATATATAGGTACAACAAACGTGGATGCCACAGACACACCAGCTTGAAGCTGTCACAAGCTGAATTAGTGTGTTATACCTACTTCTAGTCGTGTTCCTGGGAGGAAAAGGAAGCAGTAAGTGTTTAACTACATTCCTATTTCTTTTTATTTGAAAAATGCTGGCTGAAATCCAGAAATGCAAACCAATTTTGCTAAATACAATAAAATAATTTAAATCCATTCTAACACCAAATATAGCCACATTTACTTGATTCATTCAGATGTGAGAAAGGATATCATTTTATCCATAAGCTTTTTTGGGTAAGCCTTGGTAGTGGTGACAAAAGCCAACTTACTAGAAATTACTTAAATGTCTGGAAAGGGTCCAAGTCACCTACTACTGCCCCAAAATCAGGGAGGCAGACATAGATCTGTATCAGCAAACCTAGAACAAAGGTTTGGGTTCTTAAATCAGTATCTCTTTTCCTCCCCACACAGAAATTCCTTAAAGAACATTTATATGCTTCCTCCTGATCAAAACAATAACTTCCTTCTGATCAAAGAAATATAACAAAGAATGCTGAGATTAAAGCAAGACTCAACAAAACTGGTGACTGTTTCTAACAGGGTCTGGTAGTAACTTGCTCTTTGCAGGCTTTTCTGTCCCCTCTTTTCCCCCTCTCTGTTCCATAGGTACTCCCTGCTGAGTTATTATCCTGGCAAACTATACGAGCCACACAACGTCCTTCCCAGCCAAGCAAACATCAGCCATACATAACGAGATCCATGCTGGTTAAACCCCAGTGCTGCACCACAGATACTCCATGTAGCCACGTGCTTTTTGCTCCCCCAGCCTTCAGAAACCCACCCAAAGCCCACCAGGCGCCCCGGGACGGGGGAGTTTACAGGTGCTGCTTTCCCAAACCGGACAGCAGAAACTCAGTCCCGCTGCAGAAAGTGAACTTTGGGATCTTTACCAGAGAGGAGTGGGGGTTGAAGGGAAAAATCCCTATCCCCCTTTCCCATGCTTTCACCAGATGGTGTGAGCACTGCTTGAGATCCTGAGCAGAAAGGGGCCTCCGAGAGGGAAGCTGCGCTCGAAGCCCCACGTTCTCACACTTCTGAAGGCTCGCCATGTACGAGCACTCAATACTAATTTAACTAACACATTTGGCATACCAAAGCTCCTCAGGGATAGTCTTTATTTTTTAAACATGTCAGGCTGCTGTAAGGCAAAGCTTTCCTGCCCTGCTCGCCTGCACTTCTTTCTTCACACCCTCAACCCTCCTGCACACGCTAAAAGGCATTACTGTGGAAAGACGAGCTCAGCTGAAAACATCCTCCCAGCAACCCTTTATCAGCAAAAAATTCACACTGCAGAGCTCCAGATGTAGGGGAACAGCCCCCATTAAGAGGAAATAAAAGGAAATACTGAAAAAAAAAAAAAAGAAGGAAAAATTAATATTAAAGACTGCCATGCAGCAAGCAACCTGAAGTTCTTGCTTTGGATGCTTAATATATGCTTTAAATTTGCATCTGGCCAAAAAGGACTTGGCTGGCCACTATACCACAATCTGCATTTCATTTTCCAGAGAATATTTGTTTTCCATTAATGGATATGTGCCATGACAACAAGTGAAATCATCCAGCAGAGCAGTTATTAATCTTTCTGACTGATGAGTCAGTTTAGGACCCAGAGACTGGCTGGCAGCGAAAGCCTGGTTGCAACCAAAGATATGCCTCTGCCTGCCTGTCAGGATTAAACGACAGTATTTAAAAAAGGGGGGTTGAGGCTGGATAAACCCTCAGACACTCTATCCTGCAACAGTAAATCTGGGACTCGGTTATCCAAGGCCACATTATCCCAAGTAAATGTAAAATTATGCACTGGGCCTTTTGCCACAAAGGAGCATCAATTCGTCTTCGAACATTTGCTGAGCTATCAGAACCTTTATAGCAAATGATGCATGAACTGCCCTTACAGGAAAATGGAGACAACTTGGAGGAGCAACATTTTACCACGGCGCTGACACTAATGGCAGAAGTGGAGACAGAGCAGTCCCTGAAAATGAGTGTAAATCCAAGTGGTATCCGCCAGACTGGCAGGAGACGAAGCTACAGCGTCAGGAAGCACTTTCAAAATAAAAGTTAATAGCTGTACACAGGGAAGTACCCACAAGAGCATTGCTAGTTTGGAAAGGCACCACAAAACCTGAATGTGCTCAGTCTTGTGCAGGGATGGTGCTGCAGCGTTAAGAGCCTCTCTCAGCCCCAGCATGGTTGCCAGGATTCATGGTATTTATCCTCTTCATGGGAGTAAGAAGCCAAAAAAAGGCAGAAAACATCTAGGTCCTCATGTGCAGAAAGGGTTACCATCACAATAAGGAACAAAGGAGAGGACAAAAACACCCCCCACAAAACTACCCAGGGGCTGGTTAACTCTTCTATGTGGTGTGGGGATACCCATAGGTGCTGACATCATTCCTAAGGACATATTTGTAGATCAGCCTTCAGTTAATTCAATCCATGGTCTCCCAGACCATGCCTTGTGTTCCTGGGGATCAAATAAACCAACAAACAGTCTTGTCTACTGGATGAAAAATCTCCATGCAAAACAGCCGCTTTCAGCTTGCAAGTTCCAAGTGATCCACACCATTAGTTACCTGAAATATCTATGGACTGTGGTCCTGGAAGGCTAATTTTAGCTGCTGAGACTGCACTTAAGGAATGGATACTTCATCACATCCTACAGTCACAAAGGAAGAGATCTACATAAGAACATGAGAATAAATACAAGATATATTTACTCCCTTAGAAACAGGGAAAGCCTAAAGAAAGCCACGATGCACCGTAATGCTGGAGGTAAACACTGGGTTGCATTCAGGTTAAATTTCAAGGGGTTTACCACTGCCTTAAGTGCTGTTCATTCATCACACAACTGTATTGTTGGCTTATGATCCTTCTTCACACCATCATGTCCCCTCTGCCATGAAGGTTACTGGCCACAAGAAGTCCTGGCAGCAGAACAGGTTTAGGAAGTTAATTCTGAATACACAAAGGCTCAGAACACTCCATGTGTTAATCAAGTACAAGTTTTACCAATCTCAATCTATCCAACTTCCAATTACCACGTTGTTTAGACCTTGACTGTACTAACAGCAGCATTTGTAGTGAGCAGCTCTTCACATGAAATAGATGATTGCTGTTTTACTATTAGTTAGGAAGTCCACTAAAACTCATTAAGAAACCCAGAAGCAAAGATGAAGCCTTCAGGTGGTTCCTGAGAAGGTTTCACTTTTAATCTTCCATTGATGATTTTCAAGGTATTTTATCTTAAAACTTCGTAATTTCAACCAACAAGGCAAAATAGCTACAGCTTTTGAGCACCTCAAAAACACAGTGTCTTAATCACTGCCAGCTTGAGAATGGTTTGTAGTTTTACCTTAAAGTTTGCTTTTGCCCAAAGAAAGCTTTCCACTGAATCTGCAACTATTTTCTGCATTTCCACACAGCGATCTGAGATTGTCAGAATAAAACAGAGGGAAGAGGTTAAAGGAGTGTGGGAAGAGAAAAAAGTTCACCCAGAAGAACAAATGAAGCCACCTGGGCTGCTGCCAAAGGAGCACTCATCTCTATTTATTCCATGAAGGACGGAAGTCATCTTAGCAAGAAAAGAAACTGCTGTGGGATAGTGTCATGCCTACACAACTTCCTACACTGCCTTTTTCTTTTTTTTTTTCCCCCTTGACTTTGGGACATATCTTTAAAAAGCTTACATACTCATAGATAATAAGCAGCTCTGTCCTACCAAACTGATTTTAACTGATTTTTTTTTTTTTGTAACACTGGCAACACAAGGAGCACACTCTGACCTCCTCACCAGCTTGTTCTGAACATGCTGGTGTGTTCAGAGACTTGATTTTCATTTCTGAAAAATGTTGTACGAGATGTTTGTTGAGATACTTGAGTGTCTCAGGATGTCACTCATCCCACAGCCCCTCCAGAAGGATGCAAGCTTTGATAGGGAACACAGCCAACCGTTTATTGGCAAATGTGATGTGGGGGGGAGGATGTGGAAACCTCTGCTGATCTCAGCACTAAACCATCCCTATCTCCTCTGCCGGGGGACAGGCCTTCCCAGGCCAATTACTGCACTCAACACAGTGGAGGAGCAAAGCTGGGCAGGAAACGTGCTGTGGAAGAGGCTTTTCCCACGGTACTGGGATGTAATCTGCTCCATGAGGGATCCCTCAGCAGCATGGAAGAGCACCATGGAAACAGAGGACAGGTTCCACTGTGTCATCCCCTTATACAGACAACTCCCAGAGAAAGCACACTGTTAACAGAGTGCAGTAGAGATATATTTAGGGCAAGTCCACACTGGAGCAAGCAATATAGGCCAACACTTTGCCTTCAGCTTTTTTTGGTTGTTGGCTTTCCTTTCCGGAAAGGAGGAAATGCCAAGCATTATG